GTGACAGCAATGTGTGTAAATGGCTTGACATCCTAACCGACACACACATGACATTGGATGAGGTGTGGTGTGTTTGTGACAGTGTGTGAAGGGCTTGACAACCTAACCGACACACACATCACATTGCCTTAACCACAGTATTTCGAAAATAGTTATGAAAAATAAAGTTTGATACGTTAGCTATATTTTTCATTTTTCTTAATATTCTGATGATGAAAATTATCTGATTACTGTGTCACCCTGGTAAAACAAGCCACTCCCTACCCACTTGGCTAGGAAGAATTTCTCTAAGCTCATTCGGTAGAGCGTAAGACTGTAGCAATGTTAACCCAGAGGTCCCAGGTTTGACTCCTAGTGGAGGCATTTTTGAATAATATTTTCTAAATACGTATAAAATATATTAAGATATGGATATAGAGGCAGAGTGTCTGCCTGCATCCATTATTTATCCTACTGTATCCAATTGTATCCTATTGAAAGACTGATAATCCAGAGGTCCCGGGTTCGACTCTTGGCGAAGGCATTGAAAAATAATGACCTCTCTGTTACGATTTCAACAGAATATAGTGCAACTTTGTTGGTGACAGTTTTCTGTTTTAACTTTGTTGAGATTTTGACAGGTTTATGTACAAAGTTAGAAAAAATTAGTTTTAATGAGTATTTTATATGAAAATCTAATTTAATTAAATTTTATCGTAATGCTGAAGTTGACCATTTGGACGCCAACGCATTTTTGTCCTAATTATCGGATACACAACGGGGATATTATCTCTCCGTCTCGTAGACCTCAATGACTGTGGCAGTTGTATGGTATAGTAATAATCTGATAATCCGTAAATGGAACCAACATCGGAGTATACACTGAACTCTATTTACAGTAGTGATATCGTAATAGCTCAATAATGATAAACATGGCTATATGTTTGTGGTTTGTTAATTTGCATGGGCTGGGTGTGATTTACGCTGATGTACAAGGGGATGTTGTGAGTAATTGGAAGGACAGACACCATTTTCTGTGCCGATAGGACACCGTTGTCCATTTACTTATACGGAATTCCAAGAACAAAAGCCTAATGTGTTGCTATACAGCAGCACCATACACTGGGGCTACGGGAGAGCCTGTCACGGGGAGAGCTTTGCAGCGGATTCAATTACCGAATGGAAACTGCCTAATAGTCCAATTGGGTGGGGGAATGATGTGGAATGTATGCTAGCCTATGACACGTTCTGTCTGTGATTGACTTACATGGGTATCTGTGGCATCAGATGTCTATGTAAAGAGCTGGGTGAAGGATGTCTTATACCTCATTGGTCGCATAGGTCTCCTCCGATAAATCCCGTTTACTTTTCCACTGTAAATAAATTTCACCCACGATTCACGTGCTTGTAATGGAGGAAAAATGGCAACTTTAGAAAAAGAAAAGCCCTATAATTTTTCAATAAAATGTGACTTCGAAGCGTATTAATGGAGATCAGATTTTTTTCGCTCTGTCACTGGCCTGTGCACTGACACGTATAAAGTAACATACCTAACCAGATTGTGGCGTCGTCCTTGTAAAGGGTCCTTCAGGGTACGCTGATATATTGGAGTGTCAGACACAGCGCCCAAGTGTATTTGTAAGATTTGTTAATGGGAAATCTTCCCAGGTGCCCCCAAAAACAATTATGGCAAGGAAGATTAATGTTGGCAGTGTAATAAATTGTTTTTCATCGGTACAATTATAATTATCTGCATGTGAGAACCGATTTTCCAGGGTGACTATTTCCTCTTCCTTATATATATGCCCGTGTACTTGTAAGTCCCCGTTCTTAGGAAGGTTAGTGACATAATTGTACCCTATTTCTGTGGTGTCTTTCGTGGAGTCGCTTACCCTTATGCCCTTAACATGTATCTAACATTTCCTGGGAGAAGGTATTATCTAGCAGATTTAGCTCAAGGAATTTTTAACAGACATCTTAATAAATGCTTTCTGGTTAAAATCATAAAGATATTTTTTTCTCCTTCATTAGACAGAGATATCTACACTGCCGGTCAAGGAAAAATATTTCTATCAGACTCTAGAGTTAACAAGGGGGAATCCTCCCCTGTCATAACAATTGTATAACGTTACGTCAATAATGCAATGATGTCACATCGACAATAAAGCAGCTCATGGAAAATAACTATGATCTGCTGGAAATGAGGAAATCAAAGCCTACATTTCATGAAATTACCACTTGTATTTGATGTAGGAGAAAAAATAATAATTACCAACATAAGGATTAAATACCGAAAGATCTTAGCCCTCGTGGTAAGATAATCATAAAGGTCTGGCCCTCGGTACAGCCTCCTGGTAAGATAAACATAAAGGTCTGGCCCTCGGTACAGCCTCGTGGTAAGATAATCATAAAGTTCTGGCCCTCGGTACAGCCTCCTGGTAAGATAATCATAACGGTCTGGCCCTCGGTACAGCCTCCTGGTAAGATAATCATAACGGTCTGGCCCTCGGTACAGCCTCCTGGTAAGATAATCATAAAGGTCTGGCCCTCGGTGCAGCCTCGTGGTAAGATAATCATAACGGTCTGGCCCTCGGTACAGCCTCGTGGTAAGATAATCATAAAAGTCTTGCCCTCGGTACAGCCTCCTGGTAAGATAATCATAAAGGTCTGGCCCTCGGTACAGCCTCAGGCTAGCTATAGAAGACTATTGCCCCCTGGGTTGAGATTTTCTCTTTGACCCCCAAGGTGGAAAAAGATATATTAAAATAATTTTACTTTTGGTGTTTTTAATATTCTAATAGATTGATCAATATCAGTGAAGTAAGTGTAACTGGAAGGGTTCTAGGAATTGAAGAGGTTTTAACGTGTTCTTTTTGCACTGAAGGTAACAAGAACTTCCTTTCTGTGACGATAGTTGTTTTCTCCAGCGAAAAACAAATGTTGATACAGTCATTTAAACAAAAGCTGGGTATTTTTCCAGCAAACATCTAAAATATCAACCAAGATAAAATGTCTTAACTCCTCACTGGGGTATAGAGTCACACTTTCCACTGGTTGTTGTGCCATCGTGGCAGAGATATAGAAGAAGTATTAATGTCATATACATTCACAATCTTGTACTAAAACTTCGGTAGTACCGGACACACCTATTCCTGAGGGAGCCATATATTCTAGGACCATGTGCACTCAAGTGTACGTATATATTTCCTTATTGGACATTAAAGGGTTCAGGAATACCTTTATGCATCTGGCATTGTATTGTATACACACTCTGGTATTAGGGCACTAACGTGTCATGACAGAGACTAGTACTGGTAGACAATTACGGAAGGTGCATTGCAAAGGTCACTTCAGCCACGGTTGATAATCCTGTAAACATTACAGAAGTACAGCCAAGCATTCAGAGACCATTTTCAGGAAAAAATAAATAAAAATACAATGAAAATTTTTAAAATGTATCTCTTGGTACAGAAAGGTGGTCTCTTTGGCATGGTTGATATACAGAACTCCCTAAACTCATTTTACTCATTGTATGTCAAGATAATCAGTACAGTCCTTTTTTATCAATAATATTGATCAACAAAACCAGATCTTTCCTCACCTTTATTCACTAAGAAGAAGCATCAAGATATAGTCTGGTTTCTATAGGAAATTACTGACGATATGAATATGCTAACCATCAAGGAGGACAGATCAGTATATTGGTGTCCAACTTTCTCCATAACGTATTGTCTGTCTGTGATGAGGGGGCCCTATAGTAATCAGTGTCCATTAATTGTCCATGTGAGTTGGTCCATCCACACTTTGGTTTCCAGAGATTATTTCAGAATCCAAATTACTTATCTTTTGGAAATTTGATTTGGGAATACACTGTGATAAGTAGATGTGCAAAAGTGATTTAAAAACATTTCTAAGGTCAAGGTCACTGTTACCAAAAATAGCCCATAAAAAATACTGTCCTTATCTTTGAATCCAAATGATAAACGTTTTTGAAATTTGACACAGTGATACACCGTGATAACTGTGATATTTTGATGTGCAATAGAGGTTCAATATGTTTCCAGGCAAAGGACGAAGGTCAAGGTAACTATATATTACTAAAAACAGATAATGGAGGGTAAGATAAGGCATATGGCAAGGCCCTTGCTAACCTGTCGGTGTTCCATATACTCCTAGTTTTACAGTACTTACATTGTTTACAGTGTATATCTGTCCATCTGTACTCCATTGTTCACCCTTCCAGATAGGATATATATCTTAACCCTTTCACCACTGTCGACCATAATGGACTCATCCCGATTAATGCATGGAAGAGTTTACTAAAGTTTCATAGGGGTGAAACGGTTAATGAATTTGAAACAATAAAATGCTCTAAATGTGTTATATATGGGATCTTACATGAGTTTCATAAATTTCATATGAAATGAAAACGAGTATAAGATCCTTTTTATCACATAATCAAGATTTGTGGCATTTATTCGTGTGAATCGACGATTTTAATGCAACCTTGAAATGTAAAAAGCCGCCATTTTAACTCCAGTGCGTAAGTCTGTGACGTCATGTACTTGTCCTAGGCGTGACGTCACAATTGAAACTTACAACCAATCACAGGGCTGATAGGTCATATAACATGGGTTAATATGCAAATAAATATGACATGGGTATATTCACTGGATAACACAGTACATTATGTGATAAATAAATGTAAGCAATAACATAAAAAAATGAGTGTGATTGATGAATGTTATGCTGAGATCTGTGGGCTCTGCAAGACTTTATTAGTGTCTTGTTGAAGCCAGGACAGAAATTGGTTCATACAAATTCAATAATTTGAAGCATTTATTAACCTGTGTGTTTAAGTCTATAACAAAACGTGAAAAACAAATTCATTTGAAAATATTGAAAAAATACAATCTCACTGAAAGAGATTGTAATGGAACATGTTTTAAATATAAAGTTATATATTAGATTATGTTATTTCATGTATCAATATAACAATTTCTTGATTTCTGTGTTTACAGCATGTGATATGAACGTCCATAAAAGATGTGACAAGAATGTGCCACAGCTGTGTGGTATGGACCACACGGAGAGGAGAGGTCGGATTTACATCAAGGTCAACATGGAAGGCCAGAAGATGGTGATTATGGGTATGTAGTCTATTGTCATCAAGCAAACAGTTGCCATAGTTAGGTTTCACTTGAACATTTGGGGACCAGAATCAGTTTACTTTATGACTGTAAGAAGTGTCTTATGTTGGATACTATACAGAATCAGGGGGTTTCCTTTCTGCTGTCCTAATGGTGACAAATTAGACAGACACACATGGGTACCTTGTCTACTGTCAGAGTAAGAGTTGTCATGGTTACATAGTGTACTGTCTTAGTAACAGTTGGCATAGTTATGTAGCCTATCATATGAACAGTTGTTATGGTTACATAGCCTACTGTCATAGAAACAGTTGTCATGGTTATATAGCCTACTGGCATAGCAACAGTTGTCAAGGTCATGTAGCCAGCTGTCTTAGTTACATTTGTCATTGTTACATAGCCTATTGTCTTAGTGACAGTTGTCATGGTTACATAACATACTGTGACATTAATAATTGTCATGGTTACGTAGCGTACTGTCATATGAACAGTTGTCATGGTTATGTAGCTAACTGTCTAAGTAACAGTTGTCATGGTTACACAACATACTGTCGTAGTAATAGTTATCATGGTTACACAACATCCTGTCGTAGTAATAGTTATCATGGTTACACAACATGCTGTCGTAGTAATAGTGGTCATGGTTACATAGCTTATTGTATTAGTAACAGTTGTTATTGTTATGTATCAAACTGTCTTAGTTACAGGTGTCATGGTTATATAGCCTACTGTCATAGAAACAGTCGTCATGGTAATATAGCCTACTGTCATTGTAACAGTTGTAATGGTAACAAAGCTTAATGTCATAGCAACAGTGGTCATGGGAAAAAAGCTTACTGTCATCGCAACAGTTGTCATGGGTACATAGCTTACTGTCATAGCAACGGTTGTCATGGTAACATAGCTTACTGTCATAGAAACAGTTGTCATCGTAACTAAGCTTACTGGCATAGCCACAGTTGTCATGGTAACAAAGCTTACTGTCAGAGCAACAGTTCTCATGGTAAAAAAGCTTACTGTCATACCAACAGTTGTCATGGGAAAAAAGCTTACTGTCATAGCAACAGTTGTCATGGTAACAAAGCTTACTGTCATAGTAACAGTTGTGATTTTCAATGTTTTGCCTCTATAAACTGTCATGGTCGGTATAATTTTCTCCTCCTGAAAGCGATAAAATAAACTTTCCATATTAATTGACATTGTCAGCACTATTTGTGATGGTCACAGAGTCAATATCTTTCTATACAATATCTTATTTCTGACATTATGTACTTTATCATAAAAGATATATGGTCAGTATACTCTGACAGTTTACTTCACTATAATGCCAAACCTATATTATCTGTCATTGTTATAATGAAATGGTCAATTCCTATGTTTCTATAATTTTGATAATGATATATTAACAAATTGGTGACCAATAAACACTGGTTGTTTATTAGTATAAACCATTAGTTATTGGAAAAGTCTGTCAGCCTGTTTACGTTTTTGTCCAAGTAGGACTTCCTTGCTACTGGAAATCCTCGACAAATCCCTGTACACAGGCTAAGTTGACATGCACAATATTAGCCCATTAAAATATTATCTATCATGGTACTGATGCTGCGTAGGAAACCTGGCATGTTGATTGCTATGTATAGATAGATAGAATTGGCATTCTGTGACAACTTGGCAAGAAATAAAAAACTACCAGGGCATATTACTGTTTTGAAATCAATAACGTGTAGAAAGACGAGAAACAGTTACAAAGAGCTAGGAAATTGCTATGTGGAAGTGAAATGAAAATATGTTCTGTGTTGAAAGTATAGGCGATTGAAAAGTGTCCGCTCCGTGAATCACTCGTCGTAACTGCGGGGATCGAGGTCTTATGAAATTGGACCTTACTCTTTCTAGTAATGGCTTCAGAATGAAATTTGTAGATGAGGTCTATTCATGGAGTTTTTTTTTATTTGATTGGTATATTGATTTGCTAGGATAATTTAATTAAACGAGTCGATCAATAACAACAGTGCGTTTAGTTTATATGTTAATAATTCAAGTTCTCTGTGGGCTGATTACTTACCTGCGACTCGGTCACACTCTTCTTGTTTCACTAGAAATTACTCCAAATTGATGACAAAATGGTTCGCAGATTTCCAAGAAAAATTACAGATCACTGAAGCGTTACAGTGACATTAAATACGATACATTATATAGCATTTACTTCAGGCAATGTTATATTTGGTAGCCATTTTCAAATGCTGTTAGCACTGACTTTAAGGACCCCTAAAACTATAACTGCATTTTGCTTTCATCATGACAAAATCTTTGCTAAATCAAATCTGAAAAAAAAAAAACCCATTACCTTGCAGGACTTTTATATAAAAAAACCTAGGTGAAATAAATGAAACGTACATAATCAACAATATAGTGTTCTGAGAGGAAAAATTTCAGCGAGACTAGACCGGCATTCAAACCATGGACCTGAGATTGTTAGACTGTCACTGTAGCCGACTGAGCTACCTGGTCAACAAAAGTGTCCTGGCCTACCTCTGCTACAGTTATAGCGAAACGAAATTAAGGGGAGGTTACTGTATATATAAAATAACGGAGTACAGTGGGACAGGGATCCTTAAGAAAAATTGCTGTAAAACTGCTTGCCATCGAAAATTGGATGTGCTTGTTCAATTGCTTTGAAAATGTTTTTGCTCTATGTTTTATGTTTGTTATGTAAGTGATATCTGTGCGAACATGTGTATATTGTATGTACTTCTACACAGTTAGGGTAACTAGAGAGACTAAGTGGTAAAGGTGGTGAGATTAAATATCCGTACCTGTTCAAGCTGATATTTTTAGTTTGTCGGTTCGTGTTTCCTTTTGTATACCTATATCGTCTCTTATAGTATCTGTATGGACTCTTTTTATGAATAGAGAGTGTGAGGGTTTCACTGAACATAACACACTTGCGTAACATACATAGACAGAACACATTCTTAGCGGTAAAGTTGGCATCTGTTGTGTAAAATTTGAAAATGCAGGTACAATTATTCCCAAAACTTCAGTGATATTGGACAGAACTATCCGACGGGAAGTTTTTGTTTCAGTTTTGTCTATTTTATCAACTCTAGATTTCACACATCACAATGGTGATAAAGAAATACACATATTCTCTCCTACACATTTCCTGCTAGTAAAAGTTGGTGATCAGTATTGTGTGTATTTGATATCTTTTTAGGGAATAGTCATTCATTTCTTTGCTGTAAGATGAAATAAGAATCAAAGATATTTCACACACGGTTAGAATTAATCGTTCTAGTATTAAAAATTAATCAACAACAGACAGCTAACAAAATGATACATATATTTTTGAAGGAAAAAAAAAAGAAACTTTCACTTCATTTGTCATTAATTCCAATAAAACCGTATAACCGAATTATATTTCTTAATTTGGATTTATTAAAACTACTTGTGCATGCATCAACATACCATACTTTCCAAGATGTTTCACAATTTTTTCAAGAATTTCTAGCACTCCCTCCAAAAGGTCTTACTCACTTTGATTATATTGACTTGCAAACTGTAACTTTCATTAGAGATGGAATAATATTCAACATGATATTCATAAATTTATCAATATATGAGGCAAAAGTTTCTTTTTACTGAATAGCGGGTTTTAAATTTTCTGATATCAAAAATCGGTGAAAGATATTTTGCTGTTTGTCCAGGGATTTTGGTTAAAATATGCACATTTTTATCTTGTCAACTTCCCTGTGGTAGGGCACCTGTATTGTTATTGGGTGTTTGTAAATAAACAATTTGTAGTGCTCCAGTTGTTCTCTAGATAAAAGAACCCTTGGTGGTATACCATGAATGGAAGGGTCAGAGGGAAGCCTTTATAGGCTGATGTTAAATGGTCCCACCTCACACATTCCTGGTTACTTACTGTATCAGATACAACATAAAACACAACAACAGCAGCCGTAGCTTATCAACCCTGTGTGTAATACCCACTCAGCATACTACAGGCCTCCCAATTACCAGGTTCAACGAGTGCAGACATGTTTATAGCCCAATAACACTCGTACTCTTGTACTCTTTAGTTTACCACAATCCACACCTGATAAATGATTTGCGGAATAAAACATTAATCATATGCAGCTTTTTGTTATTTTTTTTCAAAACATTTTAAATATTTTAAATAGAGTGAAAACAGGGATCCTTTTAGCAGGCAATCTACAGAGTTTCTGCACACCGCCACTAGCTTCTGCAGTCACTTAGCAAAATAAAAAAAGGCAGCACATAGTCAAAGGTTTATTTATTGGATAAGTCTGATGACTTAAGGAAATATAAATCTAAAACTTGAACTTGGGATCAAAGAGACTTGATAACATCATTAGTGCATTTATTGGTACAGCTAATCAGATGAGAGGAAGGTAAATCTTTGGGGGAGGGGCCGGTGGAGCAGGAATTGGTATGTATGTACGTTGAGGAAAAGCAAATATTGCAAAGGCAAACCATATAAAAACGAAGGGGGATGGGGAAGGGGTTCTTGAAGAAAATAAAACGTAAAGTGAAATAATGTGATAGATGATGAAAACGATACAGTAATCTGAAACCAAAAATGAAATATTTTCTAAATGAAAAAAAATATGTTCATCTTGTATGAAAGATGCAATGGTAAAATGAAAAGCTTATTTCCAAAGATTACAAAAATGTCACTCGGCTTTGTGTATAACAAAAGACTTCAAAATGTCCCTATGCTGCTAATTGGCCCGGCCAGTTATTTAAGGGGCTACCCTGTGATTTTAGACCTCTAGCGATATCGGAGACCAAGGTCAGTGTGCATCCATGTAGCTATTATTTATTCACTAAGATACCAAACTTTGCTTCTTTTCGTGAGACCGATAGAAATTCGTGAGAAATATGTCTCGGGCCGTGAGGTATTTTTCTGAAGTAAATTTCGTGAGTCTCGCACTCCAATCGTTAGATGTTTGCGAAGACCTTAAACTGTTCCCCAACTTTGTGTGTCTACGAAGACTTCAAACTGTCCGTTTAATTAATATCTGTGTTTTTTTCAAAAGACAGCATATGTCCCTCAGCTGTGTGTTAAACCACAGATTACAGAATTTCCCTAAATTGTGAATATGACCAAAGATTGCAAAATGTCCCTCAATCAAATGTGTGTAAACCTAAGATTACCAAATGACTCTCCAATCTGCATGCTTTCAAAGACCACAAAATGTCCCCCAACCGTGTCCCCCAACCGTGACTATGATTTCAAAGACTTCAAAATATCCCTTGACATTAATGTTGGTTTCCATGGATACAAAATGTCCCTTCACTGTATATGATTTTAGCAGACCTATATTTATCACGGTTGTCAGGTGTCATAGTCAGTTCATACAACAGATTGATATAAGTGCCTGTCGGTCGTGGATTTCTTTGGGAATATAAGTCTTTCCGGTGTCCAGCAAACCAGTCATATTTTATCCAATTATACAGGCAAATTGTTCCGAATTATTTCTATCACACGTCACTTGTAATTATTACTGAAGAGTAGTTTATGGACATTTGTTATTCCAGAAGCTAAGAACTTAGTAGCTGATTTGACAGGTTAGCGGTGGTCAGAATTACAGGCTATCCAGGGACATATATCCGTCCCGTGTGGTCAGAATTACAGGCTATCCAGGGACAGATATCTGTCCCTTGTCGGGCATTAGGACATGAAGTCAAGTTCAGCCCCAGATCGCTGGAGTGATTGAGGAGTGGTACGATCCCAGGGTGATCATTATACATTGATTGTTCTCGTATCAGGGAGATATCAAATTGTGTTAACACAACCCAAGTCATTATTCTCATTTCAGTATATAGTTGCTTTTCTTCTGAGTTATCTTAAAACTGTAAACCTAAATTCTCATCACCAATATACTGATTTTATTTTCAGAACTTTTCAAATGGGGGATACGTTAAATTGTTTAGTTAGGTATTAAGCCGTCACCTGGCAAGTAATTATTACAGTATACACCTGTTGTAGCTATGTAAAGGGAGATAACCCTGGCTCCTCAGTTTCTGGTGTTCAAAACTCAACAGGTGTGATCCAGGTATGGCAGATAGGAGTATTTATTATGTAATCAACACAGAAATAACATATACAAACAAGATATAGCCATTTGGTGATGTGACATTGATTTGGTTGTTTACCTCTTGTACTTATTAATTTATTGGTATATTGGCTGCTTTTATAGTTGGATAGTAGGGAATGATGTATTAAGTATTTGTTTAAAATTGTCACACCTGGTACGTATTAATCCAAAGCCCACACTAGTATGAACATATTTTTGTATTCAAGCATGAATGTTGTGCTGGAACCAACTTTCTTGTAACTTGTAAATGTGACACAGTCAAAATAGAAATCATTAAATATCTTTTCAAAGATACTCAAAATCATTTAAAAAAGTGTTTTTTTTTGGAGAAGCTGTTATGGAATAAGGAATTTTGCTTGAGCACAGAATCTGAATTCAAGCATGAGTACAGTTTCATGTATACATGCCACGATCTTCACCAAAAAATCTTTATTGACAAAACCATTGACATCTTTGTATCAAGAAAAGACCTTTAGTGAGCAAGGTCAGAGTCAAAACCATACAACCCTGAGACAATCCTTGTCCATGTCTTACTTAAGTATGGCTTATAAGGTACTACCTAAAATATTCATCAAACATGTGACTTTTCCCCCTTGGTACAAAGGGGCTGGATGGCCAAGTGGTTAAGGCGTCTGACATTCTGCTATCACTAGCCCTCCACCACTGGGTCGCTGGTTCGAGACCAACGTGGGGCATTCGTCAGGTACTGGGCGTAGGTCAATAGTTTTTCTCTGGGAACTCCGGCTTTCCTCCACCACCAAAACCTGGCATGTCCTTAAATGACCATAGCTGTTAATAGGATGTAAAACACAAACAGAACAAAAAAATCACCTTGGTACATTCAAAATTAGGACTTACAAATTCTGCAATGTCGAATTGGTGATGATGTTGTAAGGTGTGTTATACAAAGCAGCCATCATTTGTTGACTAAGAAGAAACTAAAATGTTTAAATTCTTCATCTCTGATAAGCAATAATCTGTTTTCCTTTGATGCGACAGACGATATAGAATATTATATTAGGTATCCAGATTGATTAATTTACTCATAGTCAGTGGATGGTGTGATATTTGTCAAATAAAAACTCTGTTATGAATCACAAAGAGAATAAATTAAGTTGCCATGATGAAAACTTCAGCTAACAGATGTCTCGTATAGGCTGTACGTTGAATAAATCTAGAATTCTTGTTTGAATTTGATTTATAGAGATTTCGTAAAGATCTGGATTTAGGCTTCGGTAGAGAAGGTTTCCTGTTGAAATGCAGATGGTTTCTGATGTCAGCAAGGTTTTGGATAGTCATAAAAATGTGCAGTGATTACTCAGGTGTCAACATGCATTGATAAGCTGACATTTTAACCTGCAGTGATTTATAGTAATGTCACATTTCTAACACTGGTCACTGCAGCTTTAGACCGTTTTAGCCAATCATTGCAAGTTAAAAAAGTTGTCAATTATCGCAAGTTTCAATTTTCCGTGGTAGCAAGCTCACAGTTTAAGAAATCTTCGTGTATATGTGTTACCCTGATACAAAATACCAGCTACCAGACTCCTCTGCACCACCTGATGGCCCTGAAGTAAAATCAATTTTGAAAAGAAAACATTATCCTAATAAATCCCAATACAGATCCCCAATATAACAGAATCAGTGCTTCTGGTGCTGTACCCTGGACGGTTTCATGATGTTATGTCATTTAAACATACATTAGAATTTGGGCAGAAATTCTTTATATTGAGTTTTATTAATCTGTGCAGGATCTTGTGTGTGTGATAGATAGATGGTATCAGTCAACATTGTGTGTCAGACATACGTTAGTCAGACAGTGGCATGTCTGTCACATATCTATCCTACCTCACCCGTCTTACTAACACGGTAGCATGTCCGTCACATATCTATCCTCCTTCTCCTGTCTTCCGAATGATATCTTTTATATGTTTAAGACAGCACTGTGGAGTCCATTTTGAATTGACTTAATGCTGTGTTTTAAGGATTTTTTTGTTTTGAAATTGATACATTATCATGCTTAAAATCTTTTGAAGCACTTTATTCTCATTTATCTGAGGTTGTTTCTGTCGGTATTGAATTATTTGTGGGTAACAAACATTCCTGTTGTAACACGTGATGGAGGGTTGGATGTAGTTTGATGGAATCTGTATATGGCATGGATCACATTCTTATCAGAACTAAAGAACCATTTATAATATTCTTCAGATAACAGAAAAATGTAATTTCTGACAGAATATGAAATCAATGTAGATATTAATCAGTTTTGTCCATTTTGTACAAAACTGTTTATATATCTTATAAAGTGTAATATGAAATTTACCCCTATATGTATCGTAATACTAATTGAACCCATAGATATGATGCCAGACCATTTTTTTGTTGTTCCCATAGATACATTGTAAAATGTAAGACTGATGATTCCCATATTTATATTTGCTGTCTCTATGGTAATGAATTTACCTCTCATTTATCGAATCCATGATAAGGTGTCTCCTTTCATTGGCCATGTCCATGGAAAGTGTGAAGTTTCCTCTATTGACTGTCCGTATTGACTTCCCCTCATTGGTCATGTCCATCGTGTAATTAGTCGACCTCTCATTGGTCAAAACATTGTTGAATTGACTCCTCTCATTGGCTGTATCCATGGTGATAAGTTGATGTCTTTTCATTGGCTGTGTCCATTGTTATGAGTTGACTTCTTTCTTTTCGATTTTTAGACACAATTTTGGTTGTACTTATTCTACGAAAGTACTTCCTAGTTTTCCTAAAGTACTTCCTAGTTTTCCTAAAGTACTTTCTAGTGTTCCTAAAATACTTCCTTGTTTTCCTAGGTTTGGTTCAATTCATCAGTAATCAAGGTAGCTGTTTTCTATGCAATTATTTACTGTGTATGTTGCATTTTGTTTCAGTTTATGAAATATGAATGTTTTGCAAGGCAATATCAGGTAGTCACACTTGCCAATATTTAAAAATTGTTACGGGGAGAATCCATGTTGCATCATCAAAAATGTCTAATAGGTGCTTAGAATGGCCCCTGTATTACAAAATAATAGTATAAAATGTCTAATAGGTGCTTAGAATGGCCTCTGTATGACAAAATAATAGTATAAAATGTCTAATAGGTGCTTAGAATGACCCATGTATGACAAAATAATAATATAAAATGTCTAATAGGTGCTTAGAATGGCCCTGTATTACAAAATAATAGGATAAAATGTCTAATAGGTGCTTAGAATGGCCCCTGTATTACAAAATAATAGCATAAAATCCTGTATTGTATGTTGTTCTTTGTAGCAAATCAAACTAATTTAAGTTAAAAAGCAAGATGTACAGATTCTCCTGATTTCTAAAGTAAAAAATGAGGATGGAAAATCATCTAAAAAAATATGGAAACTTTTCAAGTACAGTATTGAACCTTTCAAAAAATAGGAAAACTTTTCAAGTACAGTATTGATCGTAACTTTATTTCTCCTTTCATTTTTCAGTGAGAGAAGCAAGGAACTTAATTCCTATGGACCCCAATGGCTTAGCTGATCCATATGTGAAGGTCAAAGTTATTCCAGTCGAGTCCTCTAAAGGAGGCAAGCAAAAGACCAAAACACAGAAAGCAACCCTCAACCCTGTTTGGAATGAATCATTTGGCATGTAAGTAATGAACTTGTACAAATTAGTGCATGAATTATGAACCAGGTAGAAAAACTTTGTAACTTTGAAATTTTGAGAGATTAATTATAATTACCACATTTGATGTTAGTGCCCATCCTTTATATACACCCAATGGCCATTTTTTTTAGCTGGTTCGAATATCCCATGCCTTCAACATTATTTATCATCTTAGTTGAAGAAAGTGTATATAACAGCTATTTTGGAATGAGCTGCACTCATTTAAAATTGGTGTGAACATGCACTGGTTAGGTCTAAAATAGTATAGTTTTTCTATATGGATGTGCACTGATGATAATTTGAGTTCCCCACAAATATTACCGGAAGGGATTTTAGGTTTGCAATCTTTCAGTCACTGCATCATATTGTCGGGAAAATGTCCCAATCATATGCTCAATCATATTGCCAAATTTCGCATGCAAATAGCCATTTGGATGGTGGAATATAATGTACTCAAATCAGGTTTCATGCCTGTCTATTTACAGAGTTATGGCCCTTTGTTCACCATTTATCACTTTATGACATATCTCGTATGTCTTGTCACCTACAATTGCCATATTTTGTATAAATACTTTTTGTTAGGGCGAAGTGTCACACATAAAACCATACTTGTACCCAACTTTCTTTAGTTATGACACTTTGTTCATTTTTTATATCATATGTTTGGAAGTAGGGGGACCGCGGATTGGTTGCAATACTCTGCCTTATTCTTAAGGATCCACAACGAAGATTCTTTATTTAGTCTAGGTCGATATAAGAAATTCAGACCTTCTCTTTGATAAAGTTATTCTATCATGTTTTAGTATGTGGAATAAACAGAGCAGTTATTTTCGCCTGTGGAGAAACATTTAATAAAAAAAAATCTTCTTTGATATAAGTTGTAGGAAGTTCTTATCTATCATTTGCGTATTTAATTTCCTTGTGTCAGCGCCTCCTACAGCCATCGTTTATGGGATGTAAGTTAGCCATTGTGGCAAAGCCTCACCTTAAAAGTGTATTGATTTTTTAAAAGCAGATTTTTTTTCTTTTAACAACTAGTAAAAGGAGGAAAGAACAGTCACTGTAGCAGGTATTGATTGGACATAAAGAGATGGCATAGTACGATGGTGTGTGATTTATACCAACAGCATTGCAGGCTTTTAATCTGTCACGTTTAACTCATTCACTCCTAAATTTTCATAATGAACTTTTCCAACCATTGAATTGAAAAAGTTCAAATGTGTCTTCAGGGGTGAATGAGTTAAAGGTATAGATTTAACCCTTGATATGTAGCTATTTTGTCTAATAGTCTTTATAGTGGGATACGGTTGACATAATGTATTGGAAAACCGGTATATATTGCAAACACAGGCATATCATAAAGTATTCCAATATAGAAACGGGATATTGCTGTAACACAATATTTTTTAGAAGCTTCTCTTTATGTGTTTGCTCGTGTGTTTTCACTTTGTCAATTACTACACATCCTAACAGATAGGCCAATAACCATACAGAGGCTTTTACTGAAGGTGGGAGGGAATTAGCTGAGATTTCATAATCAATGGTTAGTTTAACAAAAAATTGTAAATCTGCACAATCCATATAATATATATATATAGGTCAGTTTGATATCATTCTTACAACAATCTCCTTTTGAATAGAGCACCTTTTTCCTATAATAATATAATTTATCAAGATACATATCGCAATACATTCCATCTGTATTTCCATATATTGTGAGACTTTTCAGGCTTATAGTGACACCGCTACAGTTGAATGTCTTCTGCATATAGTGTTAATATTGAGACTTTGGTCAACTCCAGGGAAACAGCAGTGGTCAGCAATAGGTAAATGGGAAGTGGTCAAAATAAGTTGGAGATAGATCAACAACAGGTGAAGGGAACAGATCAAAACTAGGTAAAGGAGAGGGGACAATAAGGTGAAAGGGTCAACATTTGCTAAACGGCAGTACACATAAGGGAAAGGAGAGAGGTCGACATCAGGTGAAGGGATAGGAGTCGCTTTAATGTAACACAGGAAATTGTCATTATTCAACATTAGGTAAAAATGAGAGGGGTCAACATTAGGTAAAATGAGAGGGGTCAATATTAGGTAAAATGAGAGGAGTCAACATTAGGTAAAAGAGAGGGGTCAACATCAGGTAGAATGAGAGGGGTCAACATTGGATTAAATGAAAGGGGTCAATAATAGGTCAAATGAGAGGGGTCAACATTGGATTAAGTGAAAGGGGTCAACATTAGGTAAAATGAAAGGGGTCAACATTGGATTAAATGAGAGGGGTCAATATTAGGTAAAATGAGAGGGGTCAACATTGGATTATGTGAAAGGGGTCAATATTAGGTAAAATGAGAGGGGTCAACATTAGGTAGAATGAGAGGGGTCAACATTGGATTAAATGAGAGGGGTCAGTATTAGGTAAAATGAGAGGGGTAGACATTAGGTGAAGGGGTAGGAGTCACTTTAATGTAACACAGGAAATTGTCGATATTCAACATAAGGTTAAATGAGAGGGGTCAACATTTAGTAAAATGAGAGGGGTCAACATTATGTTAAATGAGAGGGGTCAATATAAGGTAAAATGAGAGGGGCCAATATTAGGTAAAGGGAGAGACTGAGGAGTTGACACAAGGTAAAGAAGGGAGTGGTCAATACTAGGTGAATTGGAACATTAGGTAGATCGAAGGCCGGGACAACTTAAGTTAAAGGACTGGAAGGGAAGTTAGCTAGAGTAATGGTGGCTATATTAAAGTAACCAGACCCTGTCATTATAGCACGGACAACACCAATACAGTCATATCCTTTCACAACATAATCAATAATATCGGGGTAGCATGTGATTTGCCACCATGCTTAGCAAAGGAACACCTTAATAAGGTGTTTGAACATAGTATTATAAACTCCCTTTCCTTATTTGAGTATTAGGGTATGGTGTCATTTCCATGACTTATTGGAGATGGTGCCTCAGTCCTACCTTATTTAGACAAGGTATTACCTCCTTGCCATATTTGGATAAGGTATTACCTCCTTGCCATATGTGGACATGTTATTACCACTATGCATTAGGAGTACAGAGGATAAGTCAAAACGAGGTTTAATATAGACTCCAAGCATATCACAATCTCTGGTAGCCAGACATTTCAATTCATATTGGAACTGCAGAAATTACATTATTGTGCAATAAGATTGGAGATTTCCCTGTACATCATGTACCATAGACCATCTATTGCGTGACAGTGTGCCGTAAACACTTCCCTTACCTGCCTGTAAATGACTCTCCTGGAATTGCATCACAAGACAACACATTCACTAAAATGGGTTGGTGGAACATGAGATATTGTCAGCAAGCCTTTACTTGGGTTGGTGGAACATGAGATATTGCCATCAAGACTTCACTTGGGTTGGGGGAACATGAGATATTGCCATCAAGCCTTCACTTGGGTTGGTGGAACATGAGATATTCCCATCAAGACTTCACTTGGGTTGGTGGAACATGAGATATTGCCATCAAGCCTTCACTTGGGTTGGTGGGACATGGGATATTGTCAGCAAGCCTTAACTTAGGTTAGGTTGAACATGAGATATTGTCAGCAAGCCTTCACTTTTGTTTGGTGAGACATGGGATATTGTCAGCAAGCCTTATTTTGGTTAGGTTGAACATGAGTTATTGCCAGCAAGCCTTCACTTGGGTATTTGCAACATAATATCTTTGTTAGCCTTTTTATACTTTTACACCCAAATCTGAAGCTAATAATGAGAATTTATGGCAAACAGACCTAATGGAAATAATATTAATTTCACAATCAGCCAGTGATTGCAAATCTATTTCATTTTGTCATTGCAATAAACAATTTTTATACACTTCATTTTATGGGAGAAGCATGTGGTGTCTTTTCCTGTCCTGTAGTGTCCTTTTCATTTTATTCCGATTGATGCTGTTTCATTGCTCGAGATTTCATTTCGTAATGGATCTTGACAGGACTTTTAACAGTGTTAAAATATGAGAAAATACCTTGAATGTCTGCATAATTCAGGGTTCCAAGGTCAAAGGTTAAGGGCATCATAACTATTTATAGAAATGTCAACCAATTCAGTGACATCTATCAAAAGTATGAAAATTACTCAAATAAGTTTGTATTTTAGGGATCAAAGTTCAAGGCCAAGGTCACCATTACTATTGATAGATGTTTGTGAAATAATGATTCTAATTTGTATTGGAGCAGAGGCATTCATGTCTTTAAGACATTTTCTAGTTAATTTATTATTTCAGTCATTAGCTGAAGACAAATTGTGTTTTGAAATATAGATTATACAGTAAAACCTCGATTTAATGCCCATGGTTTCATTTGCTACCTCATTTACAGCCAACATATTTCAATATCAATTCTTTCTTGTTTTCTTAAGATTTCCTGTATAAGTAAGATCCCCTCAAATTATCGCCATACCCTGTTTTAATGCAAAAATGGTGGCATATTATAAAGAGATTTGATTGTAATTGTTAAAAAAAACACTTTCTGAAGCACCAGAATATTGCCATTCCCAAGAAAGTCAACAAACAGTATGAGATATACATGATTATGTTAATGACCTCTTAAATCTTTTTAGCTGTGACACCATTTCTGGAAAATACTTGAAAAGCATTCTTTGCTAAGAATAAAATTCTGCTTTTAAGTTATATTGTTTGAGATTACCATGGTGATGACTGTTGCGTCACATTTGGAGCATGATTTTAAAAATATATAACTTTAATATATATAAAGCCTCTATATATCATGGCAACTTGCAAGTCTAGGTAAATCTTCCATGAATCCCTGTACAGCCATGGCAACATGCAAGTCTAGGTAAATCTTCCATGAATCCCTGTACAGCCATGGCAACATGCAAGTCTAGGTAAATCTTCCATGAATCCCTGTACAGCCATGGCAACATGCAAGTCTAGGTAAATCTTCCATGAATCCCTGTACAGCCATGGCAACATGCAAGTCTAGGTAAATCTTCCATGAATCCCTGAACGTCTGTACATGTGAGGTCTAGAGCGTAATGCCTGAGCTTCTGACTCCAATTCTTGTAGGCGTGGGCTTGACTCCCGGCGTCGGAGAAATTAGAACTGAGCCTATTACCAGGGTCATACATAATGTTTATCTATAGGCAGTCTGTCATCAATTACCACTTGTTTGGTTTAAGTATGTTTGTGGAATTTAAATCAAATAACAGCAAGAAAGATTCCTCTGGGTAATCGCTACCGTTCTTTAAAAAAGTCAACAACAACATATAGTAATAGAGAGTTTCTGTTCTATAGCGAGATGGTAAACATAATGTATATACAGTACAGTGAGTTGATTAACTAAATGTTCCAAGTTTAAATGTTTTACCAATTATATCAGGAGTTGTTTACTATAATGTTTGAGTAGGAATGTGTTATTGTTTGTATATAAGTATAGAAGTCCTATTTTGATTCTGACCATGAAAGTAATTGGTTGTGAGATACATATATTCTATAAGGCTTGTCAGTATTTCATGGAGAATTCACATGTATTTTAACGCCACCGTATTCCATGCCATGGCCACATTCAGTCATAAACCTTGAAAGTCATATTCATCAGGGATTTTTTCACAGTGAATTTGGGGCCCTTATAAAGATAATTTCTGTTTTTCCCAAAATCGATACAAAAAACACACTATTTTCCCCAAATCATGCTTTTTGTGCGCAATGTTTTCCCAAAGTCACAAGGCACAGACTCCTGTAGAAAGGTCAGATAGAAAAATTACTGTTGATGTATTTTGGAATATTAATTTTGCAGATCAATTGACACATCACAGCACTGTGTTGTATCTTTGAACAAGATACTTTACTCTGCTTGTTCCAGTCTACTCAGCTGTAAATGAGTATGTGGTTGGGCAGTGCTAGAATTTTTGAATGCTAGCTGTGAGCGCCGAAATGGCAGCACCGGCTGTTACATGCATGCTCCCCAGGGAGTTGAGAAAGATATTGGCTGGTTGCAAAGGCCGTATAACCGTCATCCAGGAATAACTGTGTCAGAACTATAAACAGTGGCTTTATGTAAAAATGATTGTAAATATATATTGTTTGTTGTGGGTTATACCCATTGGTGAAAGTGTCCATCTAAACAATTAAGGTGATCATTTAAAAAAAAAAAAACATCCAGCATGAAACACTTTAGATAAGTTTCATATCAAGGTTTGTTTCAAATCAAGAAAAACTATGGTAACAGGTTTGTGCAAAAGTTGCGACAAGCATCATGATACATATTGTATCGTGACCCATGTATCATGATGCATATCATATTGTCACAACCCTTGCGATGCACAGCACTGATATACATATACAGTCGAATCCATCAAGCGACCAATCCTATTAAACGACCGTCTGTTTTATGCGACCACTTTTCATACCTCCCGACCGTTTTTACTATATAATTTAATTGTATTAAGAGACCATCTGTCTAATGCGACCATATAAACATACATTTATGTTGTGTTCCCCTTCCAAGTATGACCTACCCTCTTTGAGTATTAATGTTGTCTATCCACAGTGAGTTGCTACCAGAGGACCAATCCAAAAGACTGTCATTTGAGATTTGGGACTGGGACAGGACCTCAAGAAATGATTTCATGGGCTCATTGTCATTTGGCATTTCGGAATTGATGAAGGAGTCTATTGATGGCTGGTTCAAATTATTGAGTCAAGAGGAGGGAGAATTCTACGGCATTCCTGTCACAGACGATGTTGTCAACGACATGCTTGAGATTAACAAAAAAATGGAGGTGAGATCAGATGTCAAAACGAAGAAATTTAGAGGTTAAAAATAGTTTTTCCGTAGGTCAAAATCATCCATTTGAATTTCAGATCTTCAGATCAGAATAAATCTATCAAGCAATAAGCCCATGCCTGGTAATAAGCCCACCGATATGTAATATATTGAAATTATTCGGCAGTTAGCCCATGCCTGGTAAAAAGCCCATCCATATGTAATATATTGTATTTATCCAGCAATAAGCTCATACCTGGTAATAAGCCTGCTGATATGTAATATATTGTATTTATCCGCAATAAGCTCATTCCTGGTAATAAGCCTGCTGATATGTAATATATTGTATTTATCCAGCAATAAGCCCATGTCTGGTAATAAGCCCGCTGATATGTTATATATTGTATTTATCCAGCAATAAGCCCATGCCTGGTAATAAGCCTGCTGATATGTAATATATTGTATTTATCCAGCAATAAGCCCATGTCTGGTAATAAGCCCACTGATATGTAATATATTGTATTTATCCAGCAATAAGCTCATACCTGGTAATAAGCCCATCCATATCTATTACAGTTCATTAGAAATACCAGCAAATATATTCATACAATAAACATAACCTGAAGATTTCAGGGAACTGCATCATTAGTGGCCTATTATAAATTCTAATGAAGCTTTCTGACAAATCTGTCATATATGTCAGCTGGAGGTCTGTTATGCAAAAGGACCCTGCTTCAAACAGCATCTGTATCATAGTGCCACCTCACTTGAGTGTTAGGTACAACTCTGAAAATCTACGTGGAAATCTGGTTCATTGTTGACCACTTGGCTGGATCCACCTATGATACAAACATCGGACATTATTGACCTTAGAAAAGCTTCCAGTCAGCTTCCGTTAGCACATTTGGTACTGAATTGGAGGTGAACCCAATGTTTTCCTCATACATCAGATTACCAGGTGAAATATGAGCGGTTGCTTGGACCGGGACAGCTCTAATAAGCCTGTTAATGTATTTCTTGTTTGATATAACGGACCAAGACATGCAATGTCGGGTTTCGGTACTGTACTGACAGCAAGCAAATGAGATTGTACTGTGTGTTGGTATCAGCCCCATTCCGTGACACTGTCAAGCTTTCTGTCAAAATACTCACCAAAAAATCAAAAGAGCACGGTTTTCGGTTTACGGCTGCTGGGTTGTCAGGGGAAGTCCCTGTCACCGTGATGGATAGCCACAACTGAGTCTCGATCTGGCGACAGCAATAGGAAACTAATCATAAAAGATAAGCCTGTCGCTGGTCACTATCTATATAGCCACCTTTCCTCATGTTACATAGCATCCATCATAAACGCCTACAATAGCTGAAGGTTTAGCATACGTCTACAGCCATTAGCCCTGGGATCGGCACACGTCTACAGCCTCACATATTACTGGCTAAGTGTTGTCCAACAGGGACAGTAAGCGCAATGATTCAATCAAAAGTCCATTAACGGTGATTGCTTGATTGTCATTTTGTATATTGGATGTACTGTTAATTTAGTGCAGGAGATCAAATTACATCTCAAAGGTCACTGCTATCAACAGCCATGTTCTGAACGTAAATAACATGCTCTAAAGTCATGTATAGGTTTAAACCATTCTGTTACCAAGATAAGTCTACCTTGTTGTGTACCATTCTGTTACCGAGATAAGTCTACCTTGTTTTGTATCATTCTGTTACCGAGATAAGTCTACCTTGTTGTGTACCATTCTGTTACCAAGATAAGTCTACCATGTTGTGTACCATTCTGTTACCAAGATAAGTCTACCTTGTTGTGTACCATTCTGTAACCTTTTGATCAGTGCACTGTGACAATTTCCTTTTTTTTTTTCAATTCTGTACCATTTTTTAGTGACCTTAAATACTATTAATCCTTAACCTTTAAATGACCTTGACCTCACAATCATCTTTTATTGTTTCAATCAGGTAATGACTTTTTACATTTTCTGATTTTTATTTAATCAAACAATTGAGAAATATAAAGTGTGAATTAGCAGCAGTACTGTCTCCAAAGCTATTAAAATTATGAAAAAAGGAATATCATAAAAAGGCTGATGTGTTACTATCCATATCTAGCCTTGCTTTTAAAACTGAACCAACAGGCTTAGTATATAATGCATACATTTTTTATCCTTTTTGCCTACTTTTCTTTATTTTGGCTGCTTGTATTACACAGTCGTACCAATTTAATTTCAAACTGTAATATTTGATATGCAAGACAGTATGGAATTCTTTTTTGTCTTATTCATGGTTTTTTTTTCCGTATGGTGATGATTTCAGTGTCAAATGTGTTCTGTAGAAAAGGTCTAGATGGGTGAATTAAGCCTGCAGCCATCTGTACTTTTGCCAGCGTGTAAATTATGATAAAGTCTGAGGTGTTTCTGGCGACCATGGTGTCCCACCTCCCGGGCTTCCTGTCTGCCTGGCCAATGTCAATTCACTTTGCATGCAACAAACCTGTCTCTGGGCTCCAGATTCATGTTTAAGTTATGAAATCATTCCTGACTCTTTACATGTGCAATATATTGAACTTTCTCTCGAGAAAATTGCATAATAGGGGTATTCTGGAATTGAAACGGCAAGTTGAAGTGACATTTGACATGAACCAAAGTCTCATTTTGTGACATCCCAATCCATCTTCAAATTTTGCATGTCTAAACGTTTTTCAAGTGTACGTATACATGGTGGAAACCAATTCCTTAGACAGTCTTTTGGTAAAACATTATGCACGTCAGAAATTCCAAGGACCCCTTAACAAAATCAATTTAAGTTTGTGCAATGTTTTGAATTGAGATGGAGCAGTTTATTGGCTCGGAAACAAATTTATGTGATAAACCTGAATGGCACATGCAGGGTCCCATAAAACTAATATTACACAATACAGTTTTACAGTCGGCAGTGGCACTTTATCAACTGGTCTTGTTAAATATTTATGCTGAAGATCATCTACGATTGTAAACCCTTGAAAACAAAAAGGATGCTGCGTTAGATTTCTGTAAATTAGTTTGACTGGCTGATGTATCGGACTGTTTTTTGTGTAAATTGAATTAGCTTGTATTGATACCCTTTTTTTTAATTTTGAAGGAAGTAGAATTATTTACAGATAACACTTTAGAAAATAGAAGTTTTGCTGCAAATCCATGAATCATTCTTAAGTTATTTTGTGAATGATGAACTTGTCTTTCTTGCACGCTACCGAAACTGTACCATGCAATTGATTTGATGGAAAGGTTTGCTTTGGAATTAGTCTTAAAATAAAGTAAGAGCCCATGTTCTGAGGTTAGATTTCATATTCATTTCAATAAAGATAAATCTCCATGGATGAAAATGATTGGTCCTGTTGTCCTCCATGTCATCCTAAAAAACAAAAGGTGATGAAACTGATTGGTCCTGTTGTCCTCCGTGTCATCCTAAAAAACAAAAGGTCATATTTTTATGAAATTTTGTTGTTGTTGTTTGCAGCAATTGTTTCCTAGACAATAAACTGACTGTTAACATACATGTTTTAGTGTTGATATTATTTTAGCACTTTGCATACTTGAAGTTTTGTGCAAAATAATGATCTGTACTCATTTGTTAAATTTGATAATGCTCTAAAATATAAGTGTGTTAAAATAAGTTTATTGAAAGTAACTTCACATGTCTCTGTTTAGAATTTGACAATTGCCCAATATATTGTCTGATAGTGGCAATTTCTAGCTTGTACAAAATTACGTCTTTCTTTTCTGCAATAATGTTTGTTTAAACTAATCAAACAAGAATCAAAACTTTGGAATTTATTCTGTTTTATAGAAGCCAATGATGGAAAAAGATGTACTTCCCCATGTGGACATTTCCAAAAACATGAGCAAACATGACACCGTACGCCAGACAGACTTCAACTTCCTTACAGTGCTAGGGAAGGGCAGTTTTGGCAAGGTAAGTAATTGTTACAAGTTACACTACATTGACCACAGATACCTTCTAGGATGTCTTGGGAAAGGGAATTTTTGGCGAGATGCCTTCCTGATATTCCTTGAGAAAAGAACTTTTGACAAGGTGCATTCCATGATGTTTCAGGAAAGGGAATATTGGCAAAAGACCTTCCAACAAGAACATAGGAAGGGAAATTTTGGCTAGATACTGTATATATGGAGAAATAGAAGCCCCACTTAGCATTGAAAAATGTCTGGTAAAGGCTGGCTGGCTGTTTGATAGTTTTGTGTCAGATTTCTCAATTGACAGAGAATGAGGGATCTCGTATTGTACGTAACAACAGTGATAACATCTCCACGGAACTGCAACAAATCTGACATGGGAACGTTATTGGAGTCCGTGTGAAATTGATTTTAAGTTGAGTTTTGTGTTACAGCTACTCATTCATGTGAGGGATTGATTTGACACTGGATTGGTTTGTTTGATGTATATAAGATTGTGGTTACACACTTCGGGGCTCTGTAAGATGTTTTCATATCCTTTGTCATCGGAGAAAGAGCAGTGTACATAAACAAGTCGAGAAAATGATACTTTTAAGCTTTATTTATTGTCAGTCAAAATTTTGAAGGCGTTTAAAGTCCTATTACTTACAATCTATTGAAACTGTAAAATGAGACAAAAACAAAATTCTATAAGATGGATACTTATTACATGCTGTTAAATGAGACCAAACATTCGTACAAGAAGGATTGAATTATTACATTCTCAATTACATTTTGTATGAAATTTAATTCATCATTTAATTATATGAATAACAGACTTTTGATTCGGAAAACTTTCTGGTTGACCCTAAGCCAAATGATCAAGTGACCTATAGCTAATATCTCCATCTGCCAATATTTGTGGTACTTAAACAAATGTACATTACAACTTCTTTTCAAAAGGATTGAACAAAATTTGATTGACCTTGGAAGGAACTATTAGTATGGTAGAAGTCCAAATCTGTTAAAATAGTTAGCCTAACAGGCTCCATAAGGGATGAAATGGGGAAATTTTTAGGCAAATTTACAAAATCTTCTTCTGATGAACTGTAAATGCAAATGCTTTTCTTTTTCAAGATGAAAGGTCTTGGCATGAAGAATTTTATTGATTTATGTCACATTCCTTGGACCCCAAATGAGACAATAATAACTTAACCAAACTTAAATGTAAGGTATAACAGGAAATTGGCAAAAGCATTGTGACTTGTCATGTTTATAGATTTTCAACAAAAAATAAAAGACTGAAATCTTCTTTATATTACTACCATTACACACCAATATCACATTTTGAGTCCCTAACCCTAGGAAGCCAGATGAATTGCGGTTGGCCAGTTTCGGTTTTAGTTGTCTAGTTTGGTCTTTGTTATAAATATATAGTAGAAAATTGTGTTATATTTCTGAAACTTTGCTAGAGGTCTGCTATTCATACAGAATAAAATCTCTGATTGCAATTCTACCAGATCTAAACAGATCATACATTCCTTTTAAAATACAACCTAATGAAGGCATTTGTCTGCATAATAGAGGGTAGATGTTAGAAATGAAACGTCTGAAATTGGCTCAATATCCGTCGAAAGGAGGCTAAATAGAGTCTTGGGGTTCCAACTCTGGAATATATGCCGTTCTTTAGTATACAACCTTGACTAAATAAAATGGTGATGACAGCTTCCTGAAGAGTTCCTATCCAAAAATTTAAACATTCCTTTCTGTTCTGTTTTACAGGTAGTTTTAGCGGAGAGGAAAGGAACAGATGAACTTTATGCCATAAAAATTTTGAAGAAAGACGTCATCATTCAAGACGATGATGTGGAATGTACAATGATAGAAAAACGTGTCCTCGCACTTCCAAATAAACCGCCATTCCTAGTACAACTACACTCCTGTTTCCAAACAATGGTACGCAGCACGTTTCATTGATGCCTGTTTTGATATATTCTATTGTATCTTACATCCCTTTTTATATTAGGAAATCTCTCATTGAAATAGATCAACCTTTCTACAGTAACAGGATCACATTTAGTTTCAAAAATATGAATATAAGTATTATTTATTTTACAACAATAATAAAACAAGATATTTCAACTTATATTAATCACTCTTGTTGGCTGGGGTGTTGGCGCACAGGAGTCTTAATGTGGGAGGAAATTGGAGTAGCCAGAGAAAACCCACATGGTCTAGCAGGTAACCCCATACCTTTTCATGTCCGATCAGGGAATCAAACCCTGGCCGCCTTGATGAAAGGCAAGTGCGCTATCCACTGTGGCAACCAACCAACCAGCATTTAGTTCTGTGTTGGATATCTTACATATTCTAACAAAGCAGTGGTTTGGTGTTGACTTATTATTTTTTAATCATCCGCCTTTCCGTCTAGAGTATTTCCGTTATCTACACACCAGTGTGCTAGCAGGCTCGGGTTTGATTCCAGATGTCGGGGATATCTTGTGTCAGACTTTTATACAGTAGACTGGTTCCTGGCTCTAGAGCATCAAATTTATTAAGAGAAAAAAAATCAGATTCTTAATTTTTTTGGCAATATGATATCTGACTCTAGATTCCTAAGTACAAACTAGGGGGAGATAAGCTTGTAGAAGAATGCAAAAGGATTTTTTTTTTACAAAAACTTGGGGGCGTCTATTGCACAGGGTCTGAAAATGTTTGTAAAGATGTAGTTTATTTTTAGGAAGCCCTTGATGAAAAGAAAATCTGATCAGTGAATTAAGTGCTATGCAGGAGGGCTGCTTTAGGTTTAAAGATTAGTTTATAAAGAATGATGGGGTCAGATAAAATTTGGTACTGTAGGTATCAAATCAGTGCTTTGTAGCCAAAAGGGTCCAAGTATTTGTTTTTATACGTCTCTGTCTTCAGTAAATCTTCAGCTTGAACGGCAGGTTGAATAATGTATACCTTAATCATAGTCAGGATCAACTCTGTAGAAATGTTGATCAAATGATATTCTATATGAATAGAGAAATGGTGATCCTGATTGACAGCCATGGATTGTCTGTATGATGATGTCCTTATTTCAGCAGCGCTGATATGTAAATGTAGAAGGGTGAGGAGGGGGGGATATCTGGTTGACAATGATATGGCTACTGGGCCGTGAGGTAAGTGGGAGGATCAGGAGGGGGGATATATGTGTGGTTAAGATATGTCTACTGGGCTGATGAGATCAGTCGGATATGTTAATGTAGGAGGGTCAGGAGGTGATATGTAAATGTGTTGGGGGGGGGGGGGGGGGTCTTGAGGGGTCTTGAGGGGAAATATGGGAGGGTCAGGAGGGGGGAATCTGTGTGGTTATGATATGTCTACTTGGCTATGAGGTAAGTTTGATGTATAAATGTGTTAGGGTCCATAGGGAGATATCTCTGGGCTATGATATGTCTACTGGGCAGATAAGGTAAGTCTGATATGTAAATATGGGAGGGTCCGAAGGGAGGTATCTCTTGGTTATGATATGTCTACTTGGGTGAAGAGATAAGTCTGATATGTAAATATTGGAGGGTCAGGAGGGGGTGTCTATGTTGCTATGATATTTCTACTGGGCAGTGAGATAAGTCTGATATGTAAATATTGGAGGGTCAGGAGGGGGTGTCTGTGTGGCTATGATATGTCTACTGGGCAGTGAGATAAGTCTGATAGGTAAATTGTTCAGCTTGAGGAGACTCTTTCTTCAAAACGGTAGTTCTGAACAGCTGATGATGTATATATAGTATTTAGAGGATGTATATATAGTATTTAGAGGATGTATATATATAGTATTTAGAGGATGTATATATAGCATTTAGAGGTCCAATGGTAGTTCAAGCTCTCTGTTTTTATATATCTTTCCAATAGTCAACATGAAATATTTGAAGGGGAGTAAATTAGCAGCACATTTGTCAGGGCAACAATAGCACCACATTTGTTGGGGGCAAAACAGCATATTATTTGTTGTCAGGCCGGAAAATATCAGCATATTTGTCCAATCAAAATATCAGCATATTTGTCCAATCAAAATATCAGCATATTTGTCCAATCAACATAGCAGTATAACTGTCCGGGTTAACAACAGGAACAAGTTTGTCAGGGCTGAAAAAAGCATGTTTGTCAGGGGTAAAAAGCCCAGAAGTATATCTATCAGGGGGGTTAAAGTAGCCGTATATCTGTCAAGGCCAAAAATAGCATACGAGTAAAGAAGTACATACTGGAAGTAGAAGTTCGTAAAAACGTACAAATATTCTAACCCCTTTCTCCCCGTGACAAGTTACGTATGATTGAACCTGATCGGCCATGAGGTCTAGACTATCTGACAGCTCACTCATGGCTATAGACAAGGGAAATAAAAAGCCAGCACAGTAATATGACATGTTGTCATGGGCAAGTGTTAGTGACCTCTTTAACACGCACTGAGAATTGACTTGTAGTAAATCTTTTAGCTTTTCTCTGGTATCTCTGCAAAACATGTTTAGCTCACATTGGTATTTCAGGGTTCCAAAGTCACTGTTGCTATTTATAGGTCGGTCACAGGGCCAAGGGGGCCTTTCTGTCTTACAACCAGTTTCTAATTTTAGATCAAAGTGATATGTTCAGTGAAAACCGATGAGCGCTCTATTGATTTGCACAAATGCTTTCTTAAATAAGTGAAATCTTTGGAAAAGTCAGAAAAATGTAACCGTAGTGCAAGTTGAGACTTCGCCATTAATACTACAACCTCACTAGCCATCAATGTATTCACCAGTCCACGGCTCCATTCACCCAACTCTTCACTATCTCATCCCCAACCTCAGGATAGAGACAGAGATACACTTCTCATTCATTGATCACTAGATTTTTTTATAATCTACATTTAAATAAAGCGTTGGAAAGTGCAGGTGATGTGTGTATTGATTGGAGTGTCAGGTGCTGGGTCAAAGGTCAACTGTACCAGAATTGCATCTCCTTCACAATAACTCCTGTGCATCTCGAGGGAGTTCACACCAATCTACCAGGGCTGTTTTGTGAATCTATAAGTTAATTTTCCACATCTTAAATTCCAATGAAGACTTATTGTATTTCCCAAACTGCCTGATTCGATTAGCTTTCGGTCACATGACCTGTGAAATACATTGTCATGTGATAGCAGACGGCAATAGACCTCGAGTTTATTACACTTGTAATGGTGTAATATGGAGTAATGTGTATTACAATGGTAAAGACTAGCTCCCATGTATCACTGTTACAGTTTCTACAGTTCAGAAAGAATATCAAGAACTCAAATTTTGAATATCTAGTTTAACGTCATGAATGTTTGGGTGAAATCAACCTTTAAAGATCTGGATAAGAAGACAATGTACTTCTCATATTTTACTTATTCACCCCTGAAGACACATTTGAACTTTTCCAATTCAAAGGTTGGAATAGTGCATTATAAAATTTCAGGGGGTGAATGAGTTAACGTAAATGTGAAATATGATAATGAAACTTTTGCATCTGTTTTAAACTTAAACTTCACAGCTTGGCCTGTACATATTGCATAAAAAATAAGGTATATATATTAGGCTGTACATAATTATCTAAACCTTATTTTTGAGCCAAGGTTAATTATCCTTCTGGCTATGCTGACTCTATGTAGAATGGTGTCTATGACTGAATCAGCAAAAGCCAAACTTAGTTGATCATTGAGTATTGTAGGTAAAATTGCACCAATTTGAACATGTGTATGTTTGAACTATCTCTACCATATGGGAGCTATACATACACTCACGTTACCGTCCCATGTGGGGTATAGGAAGAATCAATACCTTCAGTTGCCTGATGGGGGTATGTAGGATCATGTCAAATTTGGGAACTTTTCTATTGTTTAAACCAGAAAAAGTTTTTACAATAAGCAAAACCATGTGAATAGTTCAACCCAGTATTGCCTTAAAATTCAAATCCCTCAAATCATTTATAAATTTATAAACAAAATCGCAGTGATATACATACAGGAGATCGAAATGAAGTAGAAATTCCTGTATAAAGTTGAGGTATATTATCTGTGCTACAGTGACAGTTTGCGTGAGATCTCTGGCTGGAACATGTGGCTCGCTGTCTAATGTAACTGACATAATATTTATGATTCTTTCTCTTTTTTACAGGATCGTCTCTATTTTGTAATGGAGTATGTGAATGGAGGAGACTTAATGTATAGAATTCAACAAGAAGGAAAATTCAAGGAGCCCATTGCAGTGTAAGTGTGTGGAGTTGGATGGTATTGAAGATCTCAATACAACAGTCCGTAGTAGACTTGGTCTAGCAAAGGTGTTGGTACAATTGGTACAAAGAAACTTCGTCTTGTAATTAGAAAAAAATCTTTATTGATTATAATAATTATAGGCGCTGTTCAGAATCCCGAAGTTGCATCAAAAAACAGTATGGGCTGCAAAGGTCAAATATGTTAAAAGCTTCATGCAACTTGTAATGATCTGTAAGACCTTGAGTTCTGATGTTTGTCCTGTAATGCCAAGGTTACAGGGGTCAGGTTTGTAAAACATTTCAAACAACTTCATCTATAAATCCATAAGGTCTAGAGTAACTTTTTTTATTTGTAGCTGATATGGCAATGAAAAACCATCAAGTTCAAATGGATTACTTTGACATATTTCTTGGTTACAGGGTAAAAATGTTTAAGAATATTCAAAAGACTTTGTAAAGAGGCAAAAAAAACCTTGTTGAGTGATTATTTGACTGTAGCTTACTTGGAAGAATACCTATTAGATTTGTTCAATTAAATGACATTGACACACTTTCAAGGTCACAGGGATCAAAATGAATTGCAATATTTTAATAGTATCTCTAAAAGATCTAAAATTTAGATTAAGAAGATATTGCCTGAATCTTTCTGGTATATGAAGGGCTATAGATTACCGTGACCTATTTCTAGGTCACAAGAAGGAAATATGTGTAAATATTCAAACAACTTCTTCCGTTACGCTTTAACTAAGGATATTTGGTCTGTAGCTTGCTTGATAAGAGTCTGTCAAGTTTATTACACGAAATGGCATTCAGTCCCACATTAATAAATTATGTTAAAATCGTACAATAAAGATCTGTAAGTTACAGCGTCAGGTTATTATCTGGCCTTTAGTGTAAGCTTGCCGTACCTTGAATGTCACAGATATCGTTATAAGAGATGTGATTTCTAACACCATACAGTAACATGTGAGTAATACAGGCCCATCAGGACTTTTGTATTACCACACTCTCTGTGTATGTTACTTACAAAGCCGTTTGGGTAATATAGCCACCGCACTTGATCGTCTACACCTCTATTTACCCTGACGGATCACCACGTAATGTAATCAAAAAACCAATTTCCGGGGTCATTGTTAGATTTATTACATTGATTGGGTGAAAATTGAGGTGCAGAGCTCAGCAACTACCTGTTACAATGTAATTAGAACCCCTGCGTGTTGAAGGGATTTCTCGATCATCGTATTCATGCAATGCTTAATTTGTTTAGTGAACAATAAACATGTATCAACGTTTCATTTGTGTTTTCTCATTTCAGGTTCTATGCAGCAGAAATTGCTATCGGACTATTCTACTTACACAAACAAGGGATAATTTACAGGTAGTTATCAAACATGTATAGTCTCCACTTACAGAAGTAAGGGAGATAACCAGCATTGACTAGTCTTTACTTAAACAAGCAAGGGTAGATAACCAACTGATTGATTTTACGTCCACGTCACTACAGAGTAGTTCAGTTATCCAGCAGACAAAGAAAAAATAGGAAACAGAGTAGAAGGGATAAAGTATGTAGCAAAGTAATAAAAAAGGACAACAGAGGAGAGAAGGACATGCCTATCTTAGATACAAGCAAGGGAGATAACCTGCATTGAATAGTCTCAACTGAAACGAGCAAGAGTAGATAAACAAGCAAGGGAGATAACCTGCATTGAATAGTCTCAACTGAAACAAGCAAGAGTAGATAAACAAGCAAGGGAGATAACCTGCATTGAAGAGTCTCAACTGAAACGAGCAAGAGTAGATAAACAAGCAAGGGAGATAACCAGCCTTGAATAGCAAGAGTGGATGATCAACTGTGAATAGCCCCTACTTAAACAAGCAAGGGAGGTAACTAGCATTGAATAGACTCTTCTTTAACAAAGCAAGGATTGATAAACAAGCAAGAGGAGATAACCAATCATGTTTAGCAAGGGTAGATAACCACACATGTATAGTCTGGAAATTAAACACACATGAAAACGTAGATAACCTATGAATGTATAGCCCTTACTTACGCATGCAAGGGTAGATAACCAACATGAATAATCCAAACTTACACAAGGTAGTGAATGTTCACTGCTGACCAACCATGTACATGTATTACCTAAACCAATGTAATAATCTCAACCATTCAATTGACCATTTAAAGCACTTTCACCATTACCGGGAAATCTTGAAACTGTAATGCACCATGTAACTGCCAGCCCCTTAACATTAAGTCTGTGGCAAGGTGATGTACCTTATAGGTGTACAGACACCACATATTGTACGTGTTATACCCATAGACAACTGGTATTGTTCTCTCTATTACAGAGATCTTAAGCTAGACAATGTGATGTTAGATGCAGATGGACACATAAAAATAGCCGATTTCGGAATGTGCAAAGAAAATATATTGGGGGAGAAAACCACTCGAACATTCTGTGGAACACCTGATTACATTGCTCCAGAAGTAAGTCAACAAAGACTCTGATGATAAGATGGCTGGATTTCTGTCAAAAGAAAACTATCAAACTCCTCATCATTTAAAACCATGTAATTCTATAGAAGATCTATATGAAATATCAAAATTACAAGAATTTCCTTAAAAAAGTTTGCTTAATTAAACAATAACATGTTTCTACTTTTTTTTAAATGAAATGAGACTCCATTTAAAATTATATCAAGAATACAAAGAACAGTTGTCTGCCCTTACCTTTACAGATAGTTTTATATCAACCTTATGGCAAATCTGTGGACTGGTGGGCCTACGGAGTGCTGCTATATGAAATGTTAGCAGGACAGGTAAGTGACCTTGCCCTCGGTTAAAGAAAGGTCAGTAAGACTGGTAAGTGACCTTGACCTAAATAAGGAAGGTCATTAAGACAGATATGTGACCTTGCCCTAAATAAAGAAGGTCAGTAAGACTAGTAAGTGATATTGTATGATGTAAACAGCTAATTATATATAGTACATAAAATCAAGAAATAAGCATTATGCTAAAAGGATTTAGAATTTTGTATACCATTTGTATTTTCATTAACTATAACCATTCAATTTTACCCATTACAGCCTCCATTTGACGGAGAAGATGAGGAAGAACTTTTTACATCTATCACAGACCACAATGTGTCCTACCCCAAGTCTATGTCCAAGGAGGCTGTGTCCCTCTGTAAGGCAGTAAGCACCTAATCTCTCGGTGTGTCCTACCTCTATGTCCAAGGAGGCTGCGTCCCTCTGTAAGGCAGTAGGTACCTAACCTCTCGGTGTGTCCTTCCTCAAGTCTATGTCCAAGGAGGCTGTGTTCCTCTGTAAGGCAGTAAGGACAAAACCTCTCGGTGTCCTACCTCAAGTCTATGTCTAAGGAGGCTGTGTCCCTCTGTAAGGCAGTAAGTACAAAACCTCTCATTGTGTCCTACCTCAAGTCTATGTCCAAGGAGGCTGTGTCCCTCTGTAAGGCAGTAAGTACCTAACCTCTCGGTGTGTCCTACCTCAAGTCTATGTCCAAGGAGGCTGTGTCCCTCTGTAAGGCAGTAAGTACAAAACCTCTCGGTGTGTCCTACCTCAAGTCTATGTCCAAGGAGGCTGTGTCCCTCTGTAAGGCAGTAAGTACCTAACCTCTCGGTGTGTCCTACCTCAAGTCTATGTCCAAGGAGGCTGTGTCCCTCTGTAAGGCAGTAAGTACCTAACCTCTCGGTGTGTCCTACCTCAAGTCTATGTCCAAGGAGGCTGTGTCCCTCTGTAAGGCAGTAAGTACCTAACCTCTCGGTGTGTCCTACCTCAAGTCTATGTCCAAGGAGGCTGTGTCCCTCTGTAAGGCAGTAAGTACCTAACCTCTCGGTGTGTCCTACCTCAAGTCTATGTCCAAGGAGGCTGTGTCCCTCTGTAAGGCAGTAAGTACCTAACCTCTCGGTGTGTCCTACCTCAAGTCTATGTCCAAGGAGGCTGTGTCCCTCTGTAAGGCAGTAAGTACCTAACCTCTCGGTGTGTCCTACCTCAAGTCTATGTCCAAGGAGGCTGTGTCCCTCTGTAAGGCAGTAAGTACCTAACCTCTCGGTGTGTCCTACCTCAAGTCTATGTCCAAGGAGGCTGTGTCCCTCTGTAAGGCAGTAAGTACCTAACCTCTCGGTGTGTCCTACCTCAAGTCTATGTCCAAGGAGGCTGTGTCCCTCTGTAAGGCAGTAAGTACCTAACCTCTCGGTGTGTCCTACCTCAAGTCTATGTCCAAGGAGGCTGTGTCCCTCTGTAAGGCAGTAAGTACAAAACCTCTCGGTGTGTCCTACCTCAAGTCTATGTCCAAGGAGGCTGTGTTCCTCTGTAAGGCAGTAAGTACCTACCCTCTCAGTGTGTCCTACCTCAAGTCTATGTCCAAGGAGGCTGTGTCCCTCTGTAAGGCAGTAAGTACAAAACCTCTCCGTGTGTCCTACCTCAAGTCTATGTCTAAGGAGGCTGTGTTCCTCTGTAAGGCAGTAAGTACCTACCCTCTCAGTGTGTCCTTCCTCAACTCTTTGTCCAAGGAGGCTGTGTCCCTCTGTAAGGCAGTAAGTACCTAACCTCTCAGTGTGTCCTACCTCAAGTCTATGTCCAAGGAGTCTGTGTCCTTCTGTAAGGCAGTAAGTACAAAATCTCTCGGTGTGTCCTACCTCAAGTCTTTGTCCAAGGAGGCTGTGTCCCTCTGCAAGGCAGTAAGTACCTAACCTTTCAGTGTGTCCTACCTCAAGTCTATGTCCTAGGAGGCTGTGTTCCTCTGTAAGGCAGTAAGCACCTAATATCTCGGTGTGTCCTACCTCAAGTCTATGTCCAAGGAGTCTGTTTCCCTCTGTAAGGCAGTAAGTACAAAATCTCTAGGTGTGTCCTACCTCAAGTCTGTGGCCAAGGAGGCTGTGTCCCTCTATAAGGCAGTAAGTACAAAACCTCTCGGTGTGTCCTACCTCAAGTCTATGTCCAAGGATTCTGTGTCCCTCTGTAAGGCAGTAAGCACCTAACCTCTCGGTGTGTCCTACCTCAAGTCTTTGTCCAAGGAAGCTGTGTCCGTCTGTAAGGCAGTAAGTACCTCATCTCTTGGTGTGTCCTTCCTCAACTCTTTGTCCAAGGAGTCTGTGTCCCTCTTTAAGGCAGTAAGCACCTAATCTCTCGGTGTGTCCTGTGTCCCTCTGTAAGGCAGTAAGGACCTAACCTCTCGGTGTGTCCTACTTCAGGTGTGTCCTACCTCAAGTCTATGCCCAAGGATTCTGTGTCCCTCTGTAAGGGAGTAAGCACCTAACCTCTCGGTGTGTCCTACCTCAAATCTTTGTCCAAGGAGTCTGTGTCCATCTGTAAGGCAGTACACACCTAATCTCTCGGAGTGTCCTACCTCAAGTCTTTGTCCAAAGAGGCTGTGTCCCTCTGTAAGGCAGTAAGGACCTAACCTCTCGGTGTGTCCTACCCAAAGTCTATGTCCAAGGAGGCTGTGTTCCTCTGTAAGGCAGTAAGTACCTCATCTCTTGGTGTGTCCTTCCTCAACTCTTTGTCCAAGGAGGCTGTGTTCCTCTGTAAGGCAGTAAGTACCTCATCTCTTGGTGTGTCCTTCCTCAACTCTTTGTCCAAGGAGGCTGTGTTCCTCTGTAAGGCAGTAAGCACCTAATCTCTCGGTGTGTCCTACCTCAAGTCTATGTCCTAGGAGGCTGTGTTCCTCTGTAAGGCAGTAAGCACCTAATATCTCGGTGTGTCCTACCTCAAGTCTATGCCCAAGGATTCTGTGTCCCTCTGTAAAGTCTGTGTCCCTCTGTAAGGCAGTCCACACCTAATCTCTCGGTGTGTCCTACCTCAAGTCTTTGTCCAGGGAGTCTGTGTCCCTCTGTAAGGCTGTACACACCTAATCTCTCGGTGTGTCCTACCTCAAGTCTTCGTCCAAGGGGTCTGTGTCCCTCTGTAAGGCAGTGAGTACCTAACCTCTCGGTGTGTCCTACCTCAAATCTTTGTCCAAGGAGTCTGTGTCCATCTGTAAGGCAGTACACACCTAATCTCTCGGAGTGTCCTACCTCAAGTCTTTGTCCAAAGAGGCTGTGTCCCTCTGTAAGGCAGTAAGCCCCTAACCTCTCGGTGTGTCCTACTTCAGGTGTGTCCTACCTCAAGTCTATGTCCAAGGATTCTGTGACCCTCTGTAAGGCAGTAAGCACCTAATATCTCGGTGTGTCCTACCTCAAGTCTTTGTCCAAAGAGGCTGTGTCCCTCTGTAAGGCAGTAAGGACCTAACCTCTCGGTGTGTCCTACCCAAAGTCTATGTCCAAGGAGGCTGTGTTCCTCTGTAAGGCAGTAAGTACCTACCCTCTCGGTGTGTCCTACCTCAACTCTATGTCCAAGGAGGCTGTGTCCCTCTATAAGGCAGTAAGTACAAAACCTCTCCGTGTGTCCTACCTCAAGTCTTTGTCCAAGGAGTCTGTGTCCCTCTGTAAGGCAGTACACACCTAATCTCTCGGTGTGTCCTACCTCAAGTCTTTGTCAAGGTGGCAATGTCTCTTTGCAAGGCAGTCAGTACAAAACCAAAAGTTTGTCTTACATCAAGTCTTTGTCCAAAGAGGCTGTGTTCTTCTCTAAGGCAGCATCTACATAAATTCAAAATGTGTTCTAGCTGCATCAAGTTTTATGTTCAGTGGGGCTTTCCATTTGTACACATACAAAAGTATACCTATGATTTGTTCACAGCTACTGACAAAGAACCCCTCGAAACGTCTCGGCTGTGGGGCCAACGGGGAGCGGGACATCCAGGATCACTCTTTCTTCAAGAGGGTTGTTTGGGACAAGATTCAGAGTCGAAATGTACAGCCGCCCTACAAGCCAAAGATTGTGAGTAATGTCATTGTTGTATGTATCATATAACCACACACAGTCAGAGCAGACGTCATCAGAAAACACAAAAATGTCTATAAACATATTTGCATTTGACATCATCTTGGTCCAGGTGTGTGCAGATTCAGAATCCCTCTCCACTCCACCTCATTCGATAACTACGTTTTCCGAACCTGGATTAGATTGATGCCCTCACTCACCACTTGGCCGCTGTGGCATTATTTTGATGTGAGAGTGAATACCACTTCCTGTCTGAGGCATCACCCCAGCATCACTGCTTCATATGTCAGTCAAATTATCTTGTTATCGGCCGACTGGGCCATCGTTAACTTTCAATCACCATACCAAATGTTACACTAACATCAGTTTGATTTGCTCTATGAGAACTTTCATTGGATTACACCCAACCAATCAGATTGCATCATATTGTTTCGAGTTCATTTTGATGGGTGAGTTCTGCAAGCTCTGGGTTTTTCCTCGACCTTCCCTATAAGTCCTCTTTCTTTTCAAGGTTTGGTGGTGTTTACAATGAGAAAGGTTATTTGAAGTTATTTTAAATAGACAACAAGATCTGAGTCGTGTGATTTTTTTTCTTGTTTAAAAAAATTGATAAAAATAAAATTAAAAGTTCTAGAAGACCATATGGCATGAGCTATATAGAATGGGCCTATGTTAGATTTACAGCAATTATCTTGCAACAACCCACGGATGACAGATGCATGCCTGGGTAATATTTAGTATTTATAAACCTTAAGAAGAAGATTTACGGTATTTGCCAGAGTTGATATACTTGGTATGAACCATGGCTGTATGTATGATTTTAGTCAGATTTATGTATGGTATGCTGCAGTGAATTAAGATATATTACCTTAAGATTTTAAAAAGCGACAGAATGCAGAAATTGAAAATATAATCAACTGCATGGTAAATGTTGGAATATTCCATGATAAAAAAAGGTAGCAATATACATAAAATATGTAGTGACATACTCAAAAATGCTTCATTTTGTATGAATACTGCATGTACATACAGTACATATATAGAAGATTTAATATGATTAATAGATCAATTTTATATAGTTTTGTATGAATTACATTCGGTAAACGTAAAACCAAAACTGAAGTACCAGAGCTAAATAGAAATATACAAGTGATATATAAAACAACTCAGATAAATAGAAATGTACAAGTGATATATAAAACCACTCAGATAAATAGAAATGTACAAGTGATATATAAAACCTATATTTACAGTGAAATGTTTACAAAAATCACTTTAAAAATCAGTGAAATTGAAGTAAAAGTTAAATAAAGAATTAACGACTACATGTTACATTAACTGTTAATGACTTTAAAGTATAAATGTTGAATTGAACAATAATGGACGTTTTATGATGGTGACTATAATGTGATATAAACCTGTAAAAGTGATAACGGCAAAGGCATGAAGTATCAGTGACCTCAAGAATATTTTTTTCTGAAATTATCAGTGATAGCAAGTTGATACGTAATGCATCAATGGATTCCAGTGTAAATTATACATACAGTATCAATGGATTCCAGTGTAAAATATACGTACAGTATCCATGGATTCCAATGTAAATTATACAAATAGTCATACAGTATCAATGCTGTAAATTTTACATACAATATCAAAAGATTCCAGTGTAAATTATAAGTACAGTATAAATGGATTCCAGTGTAAATTATACATACAGTATCAATGGATTCTAGTGTAAATTATACGTACAGTATCAATGGATTCCAGTGTAAAATATACATACAGTATCAATGGATTCCAATGTAAATTATACAAATAGTCATACAGTATCAGTGGTGTAAATTTTACATACAATATCAATGGATTCCAGTGTAAATTATACATACAGTATCAATGGATTCCAGTGTAAATTATACGTACAGTATCAATGGATTCCAGTGTAAATTATACATACAGTATCAATCGATTCCAGTGTAAATTATACGTACAGTATCAATGTATTCCAGTGTAAAATATACATACAATATCAATGGATTCCAATGTAAATTATACAAATAGTCATACATTATCAGTGGTGTAAATTTTACATACAATATCAAGGGATTCCAGTGTAATTTATACGTACAGTATCAATGGATTCAAGTGTAAATTATATGTACAGTATCAATGGATTCCAGTGTAAAATATACATACAGTATCAATGGATTCCAATGTAAATTATGCAAATAGTCATACAGTATCAGTGGTGTAAATTTTACATACAATATCAATGGATTCCAGTGTAATTTATACGTACAGTATCAATGGATTCCAGTGTAAATTATATGTACAGTATCAATGGATTCCAGTGTAAATTATACATACAGTATCAATGGATTCCGGTGTAAATTTTACATACAATATCAATGGATTCCAGTGTAAAATATACATACAGTATCATTGGATTCCAGTGTAAATTATGCATGCAGTATCAATGATTCCAGTGTAAATTATGCATACAGTATCAATGGATTCCAGTGTAAATTATGCATACAGAATCAATGGATTCTAGTTTAAATTATATATACAGTATCAATGACTTTTGGTGTAAATGTTACGTAAAAAAGTGTGGCTTGTGACCAAAGTATTGTAGCATAAACCATTGATGAAAACTCTTGTAAATATGACATGAAATATTCATGAATTCCAATGTAATATTACGAAAACTATCAATGGCCTCAATGGTAGATGTTATTTACAGTATCAGTGACTTTTATTGTAAAAGATACAGACAATATTATGACAATCAGTGAAATGTAACAAAGGATTGCCAAAACCCAGTGTAAACATTAAAGCATTGACGAATCCCAGTGTAAACATTAAAGCATTGACGAATCCCAGTGTAAATATTGAAACATTGGTGAATCCTAGTGTAAGTATTAAAACATTGATGAATCCCAGTGTAAATATTAGGTATTGATGAATCCCAGTGTAAATATTGAAGTGTTGATGAATCCTAGTGTAAGTATTAAAACATTGATGAATCCCAGAGTAAATATTGGCATTGATGAATCCCTCATATATTTAAAAAAAACATTGATGAATCCCAGTGTAAATAATAGGTATTGATGAATCCCTCTATAAATATTTAAAATAACATTGATGAATTCCAGTGTAAATATTAAAACATTGATAAATCCCAGTGTAACTATTAAAGCATTGATAAAATCCAGTGTTAATATTCAAGCATTGATGAATCCCAGTGTTAATAACAAAACATTGATGTATCCCAGTGTAAATATTGGCATTGATGAATCAGTGTAAATATTAAAACTTTTATGAATCCCAGTGTGAATATTGGCTTTGATGAATCCCAATGAAAATATTTAAGCATTGATGAAACCCTCTATAAATACTTCAAAAACATTGAGGGCTATCAGTAATATTGAGGGCTATCAGTAACATTGAGGGCTATCAGTAAGATTGAGGGCTATCAGGGACATTGATGGCTATCAGTGACATTGAGGGCTATCAGTAACATCGAAGACTATCAGTAACATTCCAGTCTATCAGTAACATTCCGGGCTATCAGTAACATTGAGGGCTATCAGTAACATTGATGGCTATCAGTAACATTGAGGGCTATCAGTAACATTGAGGGCTATCAGTAACATTCTGGACTATCAGTAACATTGATGGCTATCAGTGACATTGAGGGCTATCAGTAACATTGGGGGCTATCAGTGGCATTGAGGGCTATCAGTGACATTGAGGGCTATTAATGACATTGAGGGCTATCAGTAACATTGAGGGCTATCTGACATTGAGGGCTATCAGTAACATTGATGGCTATCAGTGACATTGAGGGCTATCAGTAACATCGAAGGCTATCGGTAACATTGGGGGCTATCAGTGACATTGATGACTATCAGTGACAGTGATGGCTATCAGTGACATTGAGGGCTATCAGTAACATTGAGGGCTATCAGTAACATTGGGGGCTATCAGTGACATTGAGGGCTATCAGTAACATCGAATGCTATCAGTAACATTGGGGGCTATCAGTAACATTGGGGGCTATCTGACATTGAGGGCTATCAGTAACATTGGGGGCTATCAGTGGCATTGAGGGCTATCAGTAACATTGATGGCTATCAGTGACATTGATGGCTATCAGTAACATTGGGGGCTATCAGTGACATTGGGGGCTATCAGTAACATCGAATGCTATCAGTAACATTGGGGGCTATCAGTAACATTCCGGACTATCAGTAACATTGATGGCTATCAGTGACATTGAGGGCTATCAGTAACATTGGGGGCTATCAGTGGCATTGAGGGCTATCAGTGACATTGAGGGCTATTAATGACATTGAGGGCTATCAGTAACATTGAGGGCTATCTGACATTGAGGGCTATCAGTAACATTGATGGCTATCAGTGACATTGAGGGCTATCAGTAACATCGAAGGCTATCGGTAACATTGGGGGCTATCAGTGACATTGATGACTATCAGTGACAGTGATGGCTATCAGTGACATTGAGGGCTATCAGTAACATTGAGGGCTATCAGTAACATTGGGGGCTATCAGTGACATTGAGGGCTATCAGTAACATCGAATGCTATCAGTAACATTGGGGGCTATCAGTAACATTGGGGGCTATCTGACATTGAGGGCTATCAGTAACATTGGGGGCTATCAGTGGCATTGAGGGCTATCAGTAACATTGATGGCTATCAGTGACATTGATGGCTATCAGTAACATTGGGGGCTATCAGTAACATTGGGGGCTATCAGTAACATCGAGGGCTATCAGTGGAAGCGTTTGATTCCTGCTTTACTACCTAGAATAGTCAACATTTGTATGCTGTGTGAAGATTAGAGCCTTAAGGAGAAGTAGACTACACCTATTTCTTATTTTCTGCTTCCTTGGCAAACAGCTCACTTGATTTCTCTCGCCAGACTTTTCTTGTTTGATAGGCATGCAGCGCTTGGACTTTTTGTTTTATTTGCTTGCATTTCTCCTGCACCTGTATGTTGTTTTTGATTGGTGGATATTTATGATTTTGATTTCTCACACTTATCAGTTTAAATGTTTATTTTAATTGACTGGCAACCTATCCGTCTCCACTAACCTGTTCGGTAATCAATAACATTGTAGCATGTCAAGTCCTATCATATTATTAATTGCATTAAGGCCATATATCGCCGGTCAGCATTTATTGATTTTTAAATATCTTCATATCATATGGTCCTTTGATTCCATTCCAAAGGTCAAACATGTTTCTAGAAAAAAAGAGACTTTTATGCATCATATTTCGTGAAATAATTGGTGTTTCTAAGTTGGCATCAAAATGAAGAGAGAAAAAATGATGAAGAAAAAGAAAAAAACTTAACTTTGGGCATTTGAAACAGGAAACTTGTTTTTCAGTAATTTATTTGCTAGTTCTCTAAGGGAATAACTGATTGATGAAAGCAAATCTGTCACTGGGTTAATAGATTAGTATTAATAATATATTGGCAATTATTCAGGAGGAGAGAAGAGGGAGTTCTCTATTTCAAATTATATTGGTATAGTATAAAAAAGAAATCATTTATTAGACAAGGCAGCTAAAAACAAACCATTTTTCTTAATGGGGAGAAATTAAAAAAATAATCAATTAAACTTTAAATGCGTCATCCTGGTGATAAGTTGGGGTCACTAATCCATCGGTTCCTATTAAATGTCTCGGAAGATTGGATAAGTTTACAGAGGCAGTACCAACCAGCTACTCTGGGATATAGGATTGGGTTAGTTCCTGCAGATGTTGGAATGAGGGTTGCCTAAGGATCAGGGACATTGGTTAAGGTTCCTTGCCAACTAGATCATTCTAGAAGATTGAATAAGATGGTTAAGCTAAGGTAACTAAGATATTGAGAACTAGATCTGGGGGGTTAGGATTACTAAGATATTGAAAACTAGATCAAGAGGAAGTACATTTACTAAGTTCCTGCCAACTTGATCCAGGACTAGGGTTATTCATTTACTACCAACTAGATCCTTGAGAGTAGGGTTATTAAGTAACTACCAACTAGATCCAGGGGAAGTCGGGTTACTAAGTTACTACCAATTAGATCCAGGGGAAGCAGGGTTACTAAGTTACTACCGACTAGATCCAGGGGAAGTAGGGTTCCTAAGTTACTCCCAACTAGATCCAGGAGAGGAGGGGTATTAAGTAACTACCAACTAGATACAGGGGAAGTAGGGTTACTAGGTTACTACCAACTAGATCCAAGGGAATAGGGTTACTAAGTTACTATCAACTAGCTCCAGGGGAAGTAGGGTTCCTAAGTTACTCCCAACTAGATCCAGGGGAAATAGGGTTACTAAGTTACTATCAACTAGATCCAGGAGAAGCAGGGTTACGAAGTTACTACCAACTAGATACAGGGGAAGTAGGGTAAATAAGTAACTACCAACTAGATCCAGGACTAGGGTTAGTCATTTACTACCAACTAGATCCAGGAGAGTAGGGTTACTAAGTTACCACCAACTAGATCCAGGGGAAATAGGGTTACTAAGTTACTATCAACTAGCTCCAGGGGAAGTAGGGTTCCTAAGTTACTCCCAACTAGATCCAGGAGAGTAGGGTTACTAAGTTACCACCAACTAGATCCAGGGGAGTAGGGTTACTAAGTTACTCCCAACTAGATCCAGGAGAGGAGGGGTATTAAGTAACTACCAACTAGATCCAGGGGAAATAGGGTTACTAAGTTGCTACCACCTAGATCCAGGGGAAGTAGGGTTACTAGGTTACTACCAACTAGATCCGGGGGAAGTAGGGTAAATAAGTAACTACCAACTAGATACAGGGGAAGTAGGGTAAATAAGTAACTACCAACTAGATCCAGGGGAAGAAGGGTAAATAAGTAACTACCAACTAGATACAGGGGAAGTAGGGTTACTAAGTTACTACCAACTAGATCCAGGAGAGTAGGGTTACTAAGTTACTACCAACTAGATCCAGGGGAATAGGGTTACTAAGTTACTACCAACTAGATTCAGGGGAAAAAAGGTTACAAAGTTACTGCTAGCTATAGATCCAGGAGAAGTAGGGTTATTAAGTTCCTTCCAACTAAGATCAAGGAGGAAAAGGGTTATTAATTCCTGCCAAGTAGATCCAGGGAAAATAAGGTCACAAAGTTACTGCCAACTAGATCCAGGGGATGTTAAAGTTGATAAAGAATACTATCTAGATCCAGGAGTAGTAGGGATTGGATAGGTTTGCTCAGTCACACTGCCAACACTTCTGTGCATTTTAGTTCTTCTTGTTTTACATTTTGTTTTCTTTCATTTTGATTGTTGTTTATTTCATTTTTCCAGCACAATGCCAGGCAAGCGGAGCACTTCGACAAGTCTTTCACAAGTGCCAAACTGAAAATGACGCCAACGGATAGTGTAGTTATCATGAATATTGACGAACACCTTTTCAGGGAATTTTCTTTTGTCAACCCAACTTTTACTCAATTATCTTAGACAAAAAATATGCAGAAAATGTAGTTGTCATCACATTAGTTCTAACTTCACTGTTTTGGTCATTGGCTCTCCATGTACAAAATACCTTTAAACAGTGATTCTCTGTGTACAGTGACCCATGTGTACTGACTACCTGTATACTGCGACTGCCTGTGTACAGGGACTGTGAATTAAGAATAACTGTGACCGTGTTATGTACAGTTGTTATGTTATGCTGTACACAGAAGTTACCAAGCCATGTAGAATGTTAAACATTATAAGAGCTGGTGCATTTTAACATAAGCCGATTCCAAACTTTGATAACTACTAATATGTAGTTAAAACTCTACGCAGTCCTACACCCTGCATACAGTCAGAATGTTTTTACTACCTAACTAGGAAGACAGGACCAAATTTAAGTCCATTTGTAAAGAGTGAAACTACTAGGTTTGACATACTGCCAAGTATACAGCCAGAATGTCGATTATGACAGAACTAGTATTGTCTGACGGCCTTTTGTAGAATCAGGAAATTTGAAACTACACAACTAGGTTTGACATGAGTCTTCTGTCCAGTCCATTTTGTTTACCCCGTAATAACATCCTGTTATCGTACCAGAATAGTCAAAATTTTAAACAGAATTAAGGTAATTTTATCTGTAATCCTATTAACCTCTGACGAGCAAAAAATGTTTTATGTTTGTATGCCTTTTTGCATAGCTTTCTCCGTCTGTATGACTTCTACGACAACATTCGGGGGATTTTTTTAGCTCTTAGGGGTTTTGAAATAATCCTTGAAGGAATGCTTTGATTTTCTCAAAAAGTTTTACAGATATTCATAGCATCAATTCCCTGCTCAAGGTCGTTTTTTGAGTTGGATTCAAAATTCAATATAACTGCCACTCGGGTTATCTTTGTTTTCGACACTCTTTGTCTGCGACTCATCTACTTCTTGGGAATGCTGTTCAAATTAGCTGTAAGATAAATGTATATGTAACTGTCGCACAGATTGTATAGGAGTTGTAACACAGAAGTGAATGTAGCGTTCACATTTTGATGAAAAGTAAACTACATTTAACCACATAAAAATCTAAATCATGAAACACATTCTGAAGGTAATTTCTAGTTAGGGAACAAAACGTCGAAAGTAATTCAATATTGTAGCTATACTAAATAACATTTATATCGACAAGTCTACAGCGGAACTACTCCGGAGTTACAGAAACCGACTGTAATCTATGTCAACTTTGAATGGCGGGCTTTTCTCCGTGAAGGATGTGCTCTGAACAGTATCTTCTCTCAAAAGTACACATCTAGAATTACCTATTCATTTTCGGAAGAAGAGTGAATTTGGAAGGAAAATGAGGTATCAAAACTAATCTAAACTAGCGTGTAGGATTCCCGTTAAACTTGTGTTGAAATGATTTTCACAGATCCTTTATGGATCCGATTAATTAGCTATGTGTTGACAACAAATCTGGTTCCAGGGAATATCAGCAATGTGTTGGGCTATACATTATGTTTCAGCCATTTTTATACAAGCCATTCTTCACCATTTCAGCTTTCAATTGAATTTTCACACTTTGAGATTTGGAAAAACTTTCTGTAATTTTCCCCTGATCACTTTGTCTGCTTTTATTTTTGCTACAAAAGCCCGAATTTGAAAGTGGACACAAATCAATGTTTTTCAGGATGAGTATTTTAAAGTGGAACCTTATCTTGAAAGGGAGGTTTCAAGCTATTTATATCTACGTAAATACCGTGTCCATTTTAGAGATTGTCGATTAAGGTTTTAAAATATAAAAAAAAAATCACTCATTTTTTTCCACAGAGAAACTTCAATATAAGTCTAGCTAGGTTCTGCTGTCTTGTTGTATCTTAATGGCCACAGTCTAGAATCTAAACTTAAAAGTCCATGATAAAAATTCAGATAATTTTACTTTGCAATGTATGTGTGACATCATTGGAAGATGTGTACATGTACACAGATTATATGTGACATCACTAGAGGATGTGTATGTGTACACAGATGTGTGACATCATTGGAAGATGTGTACATGTACACAGATGTGTGTAATCACCAGAAGATGTATTCACAGATCTGCATGAGATTGGTACAAAAAAAACACATGATATGAAAGATAACCAGGACGATGGTCCTTGAACTGTATCTGACATTCTAGCTGTATGCTCTGTATATAGGGTCAAAGGAAAGACAAACATATCTTTAAATTCTTGTATGCTTGAAAGGCAGATTTGTATTGATATTATGAAAAAAATCAAATAAGAATTGTTTGAACATCTGTTTTTCTTTAAGCAGACTTTTTTGTGTTTTGATTGTTTTAATTTTTTGTATATATGTGTCTTTTGTTGAATTTATTGGATTTTTTTCTGAGTGTAATTACCAATCAAAGAAAAATGCAGAGAAGGGGAGGGATTATAATGCCTCTTTGTTAATACTACTATCTACTTTTTTGTTAATACTACTATCTACTTTTTCATCTGTAAGTATGTTTGGGTAAAACTGTCAAAATGCTCAAAATGTGTGTTTGTATATGAGGTTGTCTTGAATGTACTTTGGTAGATCCTGCCCCTATTTAAGTAAATAGCTCCACACAGTCACACTAGCATGGTCTCCAACAATGGCAGTTGTTGATTCTTAAATGTAGACTTGTTGTAGTCGTATTCTTCAGCGAAACAACTGGTGACTACAACTTTTTCCACCCAGAATCTAAATCCTTCGAAACAGAAAATGTTTGCCCCTGTTTGAGTGAATTCAATATGGGGTGAAAAAAGATATGTTAAGTTTGCAGTATTTAACGCTTAATATACATGGGTAATTTTAACACTGGGTGTCTTTATATTAAATGTGAAAAATTACCAGAGTAAAACTATTATATGTTTAAACGAAATTTTGAAGGTAGAACTGTAGATTACTCAATGAAGCCTACCCAAGGTTTATTTTAACTCTTAAATTCTAGTAAGATTTTTCACCTTTAACAAATGAATATCTGCACACGTTAACTTCAAGAAAAGTAAATACAATTTAATGTAGCGGAACTAGACTGGGTTGTTCTCTGGGGACCAGGTAGCTCACTAGTTAGAGGGTCTGTCTAGGGGTTAGAGGTCCCAGGTAGAATCCCAGTCTGGCTGTGCATTTCCTATCCTGGTACACAGTATTGGGCACATAATATGAGAAATGTGAGTCTTCAGACAAAAATTTCAGGATTTGTGAAATGAAAGTCTGGACCTAAAAAAAATCTAATTAGACATTTTTTGGTGAAATATTCAACTAGAATTTGATACACATATGTGCAACAAAGCAGCATTTGTAATTGACCCTTTACTGCTATGTATTACAAAATTGCATTCATTTAATATAAGCAAAATCTGACAAAAGCCATACAAATGTATTCTGTCTGTGTAAAATCTACAATTGTGAAAGCACTTCAGGAAGATGATTGGCTTCTGTGCTTACTAGCAGGAAATCAGAAGTATTGGCAAGGCTTCTTCCGGGAGTTAGATCAATATGATTTTTACATAGACATCAAGACAGTCATAGATACTTACTTCTCTCAAACAGAAGATAAAAAAAACATTATTATTTGTGTGGTGTTTAGATTTTGAAATATATTTTTTCAAGTTTTGATGTACTTTTTTTCTTGTGGTGAAACTCACATTTTCTATTTTGTATATTAGTATTTTAATCAGAAAAGAAAACCGTTTTTTCTACGTGTTTCTCTGTATGAGTTGTTTGGGATTTTGTAAGAAGTTTAAACTTTGATATTAAATGATGACATATTTTTGTACCGATCTTTTGATATAACAGAGAGCAAGGCTACTGTAGAGCTGTTTAACTCACCATTGTCGACGTCATACCATTAGTCTACCACTACTATTGAGAAATGTGAAGAGAAATGTGTTTTGTATTTTGGAGAATTCTAGAAGTTAAAGCTGCTTGTATCATTAAAACGTGACTTTTGAATATTTTCATTTGTCAACGTAATGACAATTTACATTAGATTTTTTTTTTTTTTTTTTTTTTTAAAAAAAGGACCTTTTTGCACATAATTTTATCAGTTGCAGAATTTACAGATATATGTAATACAAAATCAACTTGGTTATATATTCTATTCATTCTGTTTCTTGAGTCTTAAATATTTACTTTTTCTTTTTAAATATTTAACTTATTTAATAAAAATTCACAAAAAAATATCATAAATAGGTCTACTTTACATTTTAAGCTTGCAACATTATTTCTGCTTTTGTGAATTATAAGTTCCAAAATCAATGAATTCTACTGAACTTTCTGCACCTACATGGAATGTTTTTATTATGCATGCCCATTGCCTTTTCTCCTGGATGCTTTGCACTTTTTTGTTTCAGGCTTGTGCATGGCCTAATATACGCATGTTACCTTATAGAGTAGAGAGTTTCCTTCCTGAGGTACCCCAGGGTAAAGCAAGTCGGTTATAAATTCAGTTTCTTATAGTTTCTTCACAGCAGAGGTAAGTTTTGGTAGGCTGGTATAAACTACATGTACTTCATTGTGTTTGGGGGTATTTTGGGGTGGGGTGGGTGGAAATGGTAAGAATAAACCAAATTAATTATTTAAAAAAAAAAAAAACACTGATATTTGAAGAGAATTTTAATCATAACTAACCTTTAAACCTGGTCAATATTTAACTTAAATTCCTGTTGTGATGTCAGAAAAATGACCAAAATTGCCTTAATTCTGAATACGAAACAACCTAAAGGACACTTGACCTTGATAGGAACTATAGTACATTTGTATCTATATAAAATAGAACTTGAAGAGGAAAAAACTACAACTTATCTGTGATAGTAGGTAGTTTTGTAGAAAAAAATCTTCACTAATATTACAAAAATCATCTGGATTCAAGATGCTGGAATCCAAATAGTGTGATATATCAGATTGTCTGAGAGCATTCGGGATTCTGACGCTTTCAAAAGACATACTTGTATACCTTTTGGCTCGAAGTTGTATCTGTGAATTCCCAATACCTTTTGTATGGGACTTGTATTTTCACAGCTTTTCAAAAGGAATATTTATTGCATTGGGTGTGACAATTGAGTTAAATCTCCCATGACTGAGCTTTTAGTGATATTTAATTTCTGTCAGTATTTTATAAAAATTATATGTATACATTAATAACTGTAACTTGTAATAAAAGGTCACAGAAGGTCATTTGGTTGTAGGCCCATCACACTGTCTAGTCATTTGGCGAGTCTGTCTTCAGCTGAACTTATCCTAAAAGCAACAATAAATTCTTTTACAATCACTATTATAGGCTAGAGAAATATGTATTTACGTGCACTGTACTCCAGATTCTGTTAAAAACAATAAACAACTCTTCGTAGCATGCTTTTATCCTATACAATATTTTTTTTTTAGCCTTTAGCCTTTAGCCTTATAAAAGATATGTTGACTTGTTTAACTCATTCACCCCTGAAGACACTTTTGAACTCTTCCAATTCAAAGGTTGGAATAGTTCATTATGAAATTTCAAGGGTGAATGAGTTCAACAGATAGAATACAAACTATAAAAGGCACTTTGATACAATATAAGGTTACATGTTTAGGAAAACTGTAACCAGAAAAACTTAAGCAGAAAGTCATTTCATATAAGGCTTTCCAGTCAGGATATGTATCGTTTATCATTAACCTAAAAATTGTCATATTCAGAATGACAGTTCTTAGGGTACAGTATTATAGATAATTAACTGCATAAAGGAGCCTTAATTGAAAGCCAGCTCTAAGTAAATTTCTGTAAGAAAGTAACAGCCATGACCTAGATTTTATCCCTTTCACCACTGTAGACCATAATGGACTAATCCATATCAATGCATGGAAGAGTCTACTTAAGTTACATAGGGGTGAACTGGTTAAAGTCATAAGACAAAGGTCCCATAAACTAGAATCTCCAAGAAAAAGGGGCAGCCATGACCTAGAACCGCAAGTCACAAGACAGCGAGGAAATATTACCTGGAGTCTTTCTAAACGATAAAAAGCATTGGCATGACCTAGAGTCACACTTCATAAGACGGAAGAACAATAACCTAGAATTGCCATGAGAAAGAGGCTGCTATGACCTAGAGTATTAAGTTTTAAGACCGAGGGTCCCTAACCTAGAATCGCTATGAGTAAAAAAGGGGGCCATAATCTAAAGCACTAGGGTCTGTGACCTAGAACTGCCATGAGAAAGAGGCTGCCATGACCTAGAGTATTAAGTTTTAAGACCGAGGGTCCCTAACCTAGAATCGCTATGAGTAAAAAAGGGGGCCATAATCTAAAGCACTAGGGTCTGTGACCTAGAACTGCCATGAGAAAGAGGCTGCCATGACCTAGAGTATTAAGTTTTAAGACCGAGGGTCCCTAACCTAGAATCGCTATGAGTAAAAAAGGGGGCCATAATCTAAAGCACTAGGGTCTGTGACCTAGAACTGCCATGAGAAAGAGGCTGCCATGACCTAGAGTATTAAGTTTTAAGACCAAGGATTCGTAACCTAGAATCGCTATGAGAAAAAGGCGAGCATAACATAGAGGGTTAAGTGATAAGACCAAGGGTCTGTAACCTAGAATCACTATGAGTAACAGGCGAGCATAACATAGAGGGTTAAGTGATAAGACCGAGGGTCTGTAACCTAGAATTGCTATGAGAAAAAGGCGGCGATGACCTAGAGCATTAAGTTGTAAGACCAAGGGTCCGTTACCTAGAAATTGCCATGGGAAAGAGGCGGCTGTGACCTAGAGTTTTAAGACATAATAGAGAGGCCATATTGTCTAAGAGTCTCCCAGAGATAGCCAGGCTCCAGCTAAAGGTTTAGACTGAGATATCCTAAATAGCCCGTTGGAGAGACATTGTTCAACGGAACAAACTAGCACATGTTGCTGTAATGACCCTTTCAGATTCGGCCTGCTTTCCCCAGACAGTTATCACACTAGAATTTCAGGCAGAATCTCTGTAATTACTTAGCTGCTAATATGTGAGGGAAATGATGGCTCCTAAGGGTCGTATTAATCTGTTTCATGTTAGGGGCTCAACGACTCCCTTTGCTCCACATGTGGATTATCTTGCCCCACATACGGTGAAGGAGGAAGCAATGGTAGCAGTGCAGTCCCTAAGCTTGTTCTAGGAGGGGAGTCTATAGGGAAAGTAATAATAGGTATAGTTTCTTGGGAAATGCCATGATAGCAGGCAATCTTACTTTAATACGACCCGATGATTTAGGGTATAAAGATAAATAGGTTTATCCTGATTTAGCCCACACTGTCAGCAGGAGAGCTAGAAAAGGGAGTTCAAAGGTCATATGTAGGTTAGTCTTCGACACCAACACAGTGTGTCGTGGTGCTGTGATGTAAATGATGATTTATCGGACAGGCAGAGATACGGCGCTGGGAATTCTATGATTTATAGGCAAAATAGAAAGTTTACCATAAATCTTGTGCTGTTAATCATTAATGATACGATTTTGTATATTTGACCTCCCCCGAGACGTCATATTAGTTGGTTTTTTTTTGATGAATTAACCAATATTTTATTGATATACTAGGCTTGTTAGATCAGATTTAGATGTAGGTCAAGTCGACAAATCAAATAAGTTCCCCTTAGCTCCCCTAAACTAATAGAATATAAACACAATCACAACAATGCTTCTTATTTGAGTAGATCTGCATAAATGTGGCAGTGCTTTCATGCATCATTTTAGCAGAGGAAGGAATGATAGTGCCTTATACAATTGCTTGCATGAAGATCAAGCTCTAGTTTCCTCTCAGCACTTCAAAAAGAAGCTGGTGCCTTCTGAAAATTATCTAATAGATAGTCTTAGATACATGTTTATTCAATACAATCTCTGTAAGGTGCCTTTATTAGATAGTCTTAGATACATGTTTATTCAATACAATCTCTGTAAGGTGCCTTTATTAGATATCACATCCAGTATGTGTTCACATGGGGGTGAAACTCTCGAATGTGGAGCGGCAAACCACAATGGAGGGGGTCTACACATTGTCAGACACATTGTCAACAGCAAACCCCAGTTTAGTTTGTGTACGCACGGGGTATAGAACAAACAAGGAACAGCCAACCCGAGTTTAGTTACTTAACACAGGGGCAGAACTCTCATACATGGCACAGCAAACTTCAGTTTAGTTAGTGTATACAGGGGAAGAACACTTGAACATCGAAAAACGGAACAGCAAAACTTCAGTGTAGTCAGTCTACACTTGGGGAGGGGGAGGGGGATGGAATAGCTAAACCTTGATATAATTAGTATACAAAGGGGTGGAACAATGGAAAATGGAACAGCAAAACTTCAGTGTAGTCAGTGTACACTTGGGGAGGGGGATGGATTAGCTAAACCTTGATTTAATCAATATACATAGGGGTGGAACAATGGAAAATGGAACAGCAAAACTTCAGTGTAGTGAGGCTACACTTGGGGGAGGGGGATGGAATAGCTAAACCTTGATTTAATCAGTATACATAGGGGTGGAACAATGGAAAATGGAACAACTAACTTCAGTTTTAGAAAGGGTTGAAGTTTTTATGTAATTGACTCATAGTTACTTATGCAGAGGTGAAATAGTTCAGTTTGTTTGAATATATCTCACCAACAACTAATCATGATGTACGATATTAAATTTCAAAGAGCGTACCTGTTAACTGAACGCAACAATTCAACACAGAACAGCAAGTGGTCTTAGCATATATATTTAATAATTACTTTATGTACATAGGTAATCGTGATATATATTATTTTTCTATATTCGGAGGCATCATACACAGAGAGCTGTCGGTCAATGTCCTATACTGCCCTGGGGTGGGGTAGGGGGTGGGGAATGGGGTGTCACCTCACATACAATAGTATATAGTTATCTACACTTTTATATAAGTAGAGTAGGTATACATGATATGCAAAGAGTTATATATATATATATAAATAGATATATAAGTTGAGGTATGAGATTGGTTTTTTGTACCATATGTAATTTTATTCCAAGTGATTGATACCTGTGATGTTTGTGTATATATATATAGATGTGTGTGTGTGTGTGCCCTTATATGGGAATAGGAGGAAGTCGGTTGGTTCTTCTTGTCCAATGCTCAAATTATCATTATTGTATATATGTCCTAATATGGTGATAGTACATGCCCTAATATGGTGATAGTACATTTAAGTGTATGTAAGTACAGTATTCGAACAACCGTTATGTTTGATGTGATGCATTGATGTCATGACTGGTCATAGGTCTGAAGGCTCATCAGATTTTAATCGTTAGCAGGTCGTGACTTAATTGCAAATTTTGTATATATCAAATGGTAACTTAATCAAATGGAAACTAATCGGAGTTAACAGCATGTATATCCCTATTTTCTTAATAAGGTGCCTGAATTCCCAGAAGTCAGGTGAAATATGTTATCTGATTGCCTAATGTTATACATTTAGTCATAGGCCTTGGCATTGTGGAAGTTCCTGAACTTGAAGAAATTCCTTAACTATACATTTTCCGTTTGTACTTTTTACTGAAGTTGAAGAATATTTACTTCACTCAGGTTTATCATAAACTCCAATAATGCTTTCCTATGGGAACACTTCAGTAAAGGAATTACGGTGAAGCTGGCACCTGATCTTTTGTTTATCATAGGCTGACGCTGTTATTTACTCGGTAGACTAACTAAGACAGCTATTTCTAATATCATATGGTTATAAGAAAATATGTGTGTTAAATTTGTATCGCCATCACTAATTTCTGAATTTATTAATGAATTCCGGAAACCTAACTGTTCAGACTTATTTCTAAATTTATGAGTGAATCCCCTAATTGTCTGTCACCAAAACTTCCATTGTAGGGTAGGATACATTTACTGATGCCAATATTCCGAATCAAATTTACTAACAAACCTGCATGTCTTGTAAAGACCAATATTGAAGCATTTACCTCTAATTTGTATATAAGTTCATTATTGCATGTAAAGAAAATTTACGCTTTTGCCTAAGAAACCTAATGCATTTATATCAATGAAGCAAGAAACACTTGCTTTAGATCTGCTACATAACTAACTCGCCAGCATTTAATTTATCCTAATATATGTTGCCATATTTTTAATGACCCATAAAGTTTAGCAATTTCCCCAGAAAAAAACCTAAACAAGTTTTGATAGTTATTTTAACTTACACTGTTTTTGCTGGATTTTTTTTCATATATCTTCATCTTTCAATATATGTGAAAATAACGGGTTAACTTTAATAAAATAATCCCACCAACATTATATATCATGATTTTTGCATAGATTTTGTATACCCGAGTGAAGAATGTATCCAGCCTAATATCATTTTTTTTTATTTCTGTACTAATAAATACAATAATCTGTAAATTATGAATTAAAACTGGTAATTCAGGTGAATATATGATGTCGGTGAAATTCGTGTATTTTAAATATGAAAAAGGATGACCTGGCATTACTGCGTTGAGAAAAAATTGTGATTATGTAATAATGTACACTCCATTGGAAAGTTGGACTTGAGTGTATAATCTGTAGATTTGTATAGATTTTGAAATAAAAAAAATATTACGAACAAAGATTTATCATACTGTAGAAAAGCATTTATAAAAACAAGATGTAGCTGTTCCGTATTTACAAAAATACACAAGTACTTGTACAATATTTATAGATATATGTATTGGAAGACACATTGGGTTGCTTCCCGTACAAGGGTGATGCTGATAAAAATAAAATAATGATAGACTTTATTTAAATTCGATAACACATTGAGTCAATGACTCTTCTCACATGTGATGGACGTAAAAAATACAATATTTACAACTGATACTGTTTCTCTCCCCATACTGGGAAGTAAACAATGTATTATTGTGTTTCGTGCCTTGAACTTTTGATGAGAAAAATACTTTAAGACATATTTTTATGTTAAAAATTTACTTAGCTTAGTAGATTTCACATTTTTATATGGTTGAATTTTCTAGATTTATAATGTTACAAAATATTCTTCATAAGGATGTCCTGGTCACAATATACGTCAAGTTGTTACTGTATTTCTCCTGCAATGTTGACTTGGGTCTGTTGCCATAGAAATGATATGTTGTTGCCATGGTAATCCTAGCAACAGTGGAAGTGCTGGAGATGAAATTCTACATAAATGATAAAAGTGTTGAAATGTTTTTTATCCTTGTGGGAGTCTGAGTGAATGTATCTCCTATATATCCAGCGACACTGGACGATTGTATATCAAAAGGTCACTTGATCCTTTTTGTCAGACAGGCCTATTTGGAAGGACAATTAGTATGATCACAACTGTTTTTGAGCTATAAAATAAAATAATTTCATTTTTTGAAGTTCAACCATTTTATGTTTCAGATTCTTTTACTTCAAGTTAAATTTCCTTTCATGTCTTAAATTCTACATATACCAGAGGTATTTTTGTTTCTTAATATGCTTTTGGTGAATCTCGAAACATGATTTTTTTTGTATTTGAACTTCAATAGTTTACGTCTATCAATTTTATTTTTTTATTTTTTTATAAAGCAGAGCAGATGTGTAATCGATGTAAAAGTGAAAATGTCCTACCTTGAGATTTTTAAGTAAGGGAAAATAATGTACGTCTATAATAGTGAATAGACTTTTAGTATTTATGTGCCATTATGTCGCTGTCTGTGTTGAGACATACACACCACAGTGCCTGATGTAGGGTGTATTGGTCGGCAGACATATAGTAGATGTCGACACTCAGACTTACCTAGTGTGTTTAATGGATGGCAGGCCAACAGGAGATTGAGATTCTCTGTTACAAGGTGCTGAAGTTTATAGTGTGTAACAGGGGACTTGGAGTGAATTGTGACTGATGATGGACTTTGCATTAAGCTGATTATTACATGTTACTGGTCTGTTTTCTCCATGGTACCAATATTAACACTGAATAAAAGCATCATATCTAATCTTTTAATGTATTGTTTCTAATTTTATGAAATGGTAGAAAAAAATATTGGCAACTCTCTATCAATACGCAAAACGTCCCATGTCAAGTGACTTACGATGAAATCGTAAAAAATATATTTGGTAAATCTCTAGCGATAGACGAACGTCCCGGGTCAAGTGACGTATGAAATATATATGTAGGTTTAATATGTACATTGTTTGTGTATAAAGTAAAACTTTGATGACATATTTCTAAACTTATCAAGTCTTAATGAAGATATTTAAGAGATTTTAAAACATCACTTGAAGTCAAGAACAACAACCTACACTGACCAACCTTTTGGAATCTCTGCTGTATTTGTTTCAATCGTCTAGTGTCAACATTTGTTACGCTGGTTTATGTCAACAGATGTTTTAGAGAAGTTTTCCTTGAACATATTGACAACCAGTTTAAGGTCAAGGTCACAGAAATCAACAGTAACATAGTCTTTTCTTGTGAAAATTACTTAAAACAACTTCACAAAAGTTGGAGAAAGAAGACCTCAATACACACACAGGTAACTGCACCTTGTGTATTTGGTAATAGATACAGTATTCCAAAAATAAATTAAACTTCATCATACAGCTGTTTCGCCCTTCTAGGACTCATCCATGATGCTTAACTCATTCACCCCTGAAATTTCATAATGAACTATTCCAGCCTTTGAATTGGAAGAGTTCAAATGTGTTTTCAGGGGTGAATGTAGTTAAGGGGCCAAAAAGTTGAAAATCTAAATTAGAATGTCAGATTTACAGTATAATACATTGACTTTTAATCAATAATGAGAAAGTATATATATCATAATATAACACACTTCTGGCTATACAAAATCAAGGTTGCAGAAATCAACAGGAAAACGGCTAAATAATTACATGCACGACTCAGCCGGTCCATAAAGTGGAGGTCTTAGCCCAGATCATAAGTGCATTTACAAATACTGTTTTTTTTGGCTTTTTTTTCGCCCTCAGCAATGAAGGCGATTTTTTCATGTGGGCAAATATTAGCACGAAACATACAATATCTTAATAATCACATGTTCAGGGCAAAATTAACACTGAGCAAACATGTATTTTATCGGCATAGGGTGAATATTTGACTGGGCCATAATTCCCAGCATACGGTATATATATGTATTGGTTTCCACACCTCTGTAGTTGGTCAAGGCCACCAATAAACTACCAGTAATAAGCTCAGAATAAGAATAAGAAAAGGTTGTGGAGAATATAAACTGACCAACAAGCTTAGGCTTAAATCCAGGAGAGGTCGTCCAAGGTCACTGAGCCAGTGGGATCAACATTTAGGTATTGATGTTACACCGCAGACTAGCTACTTACTCTAATGGCCGCCAGCACTGTCATTAGTGATCTGTGGGTCCGGCACCATCCCTCATCCTCCGCACTGATCAGAGGTGTCTGT